TCCTGTATTAATCTTTGATTAGCTTCCTCATGCTTACAATATCCCTGTATTAATTTTTGATTAGCCTCATCATGCTCATGAAATTTCTGTATTAATGTCTGATTAGCCCCATCATACTCATGCATTTCCTGTATTAATATTTGGTTAGGCTCATCATGGTCACGAGATTCCTTTATTAATATTTGGTTAGCCTCATCATGCTCATGCTTTTGCCTATCTCACTCACAGGTTTCCCACAGAGTCCTTGCGGGCTTTAAATCTTTTCATTCAGCATGTTTACAAGTAGTGATGGTAGAGCATTTTGTGAACTCTCCTCTGGATTATTCATTAACTGCTCTGTCAGCTGATCATCATGAGTAGGAGTTGAGATACTTGGTCTTGCTATTTTTCCTGTGTTCCTCTGGCTCGTTCTTCCCATTTGGTATGGAAACAAACCAATTTCATTCTAGAAGACTATTTTAAGGCAAGCATCAACCAGAACCCTTTAGTTGCACAGATTCACACAGTCAAAATGAGTACAGATAAAATCTAGTTCAACAGGTACAATGTTGTTCGGCAACAAACAACTATGGAATAATGGACTAAGAACACCAAAGAAGGAGTCAGCAGACCAGAAATTAATAGGTTCAGGGAGAATTGTAGGGAGAAAATAAGATTAGAGGAATGTGAGTAAGGAAAAGGAGGTAGGGAATTTAACCAACACCTAAATGCATAGAGAGGAAGCAGAAGGAAAGGAGGAGAGAGATAAAAAAGGAAAAACAAAAAAATTAAAGATTAAAAAAGAAACAATTAAAAATTATATGAGTATAAAGACCTAATACTGAGAGAGGAGAAGGATAGAAGGAAAGGAGAGATAAATGAAAAAGGAAAAATAAAAATAAAAATTGGACCACTTAAAATTATATATGTATAAAGAACTAATACTACTATTAAAGGAGTTAAGGCTGAGAGTTTTTGAACTGAGTAATCAATTTCTGAATTAGGTATTCATAGAAAGAAGGATAACGTCTCATAATAGAAGGTGGCTATATATCTGGGGATGAGCAGAACAGCAATAAAGTCATGCAAAAATATCCCCCAAAATACCAAAAGGTTAAAGAGTAAAAACAGTTTAAAAAACACTTATACCTAAAATAAAAATGATGAAAATTAATACAATTATATATATATATATTTATTGTAAAAATAGTGTACTGAGGGGTTACAGTAACATGAGTAGGATAATGAGTACATTTCCTATTGAGCATTGTTACCTCCTCCTTTGCTTTTTCCCTACCATCCATTCCTTCCCCATCTCCTGAACTCCTCCTACCCTGCCCCCTGACATTGTGAAGTTCATTTTCAACATAGTGTCCTGTACATCTCATCCTTACAATGGGTCAACTTGCATCCTCATTTAAGCATTCTGCTGTATCCCTTTACCTCCCCAATGACAAAAATGTATACACAAGATGCAGAATACTGGAATCAAATACAGTGAAAACACGGATTATATTGTGGGGAAAGAAAATGTAAAAGAAACAAAAGAATCACATAGTGCATTATAAGTACATTAAACACAATAGCAAGAAAGTAAAAGTCACTTGTGTCTCTGTCTTGATGTCTGTAACATCATCTTATATGATCATATGTACATAGCCTTTGCCCTTTTCTGCTTGTCCTAGACATGTAGTAGTCATTGCAAGCAAGGAAAACCATGAGATCTATGTTTCTTTGGGCCTGACATAGTTCACTTAATATAATTTGTGCCAAAACTTTCCATTTCCTAACAAATTTGACAATGTCATTCTTTCTGATGGAGGCATAGAATTCCATTGTATATATCACGTTTTCTTGATCCATTCATCTACTGAGGGGCATCTGGGTTGGTTCCATATCTTAGCTATGTTGAATAATGCTGCGATAAACATAATTGTTCTGGTAGCTTTAGTATGACCTTGTTTGTGATCATTTCGATAAATACCCAAAAGTGGGATTGCTAGGTCACATGGGAGGATCTATGTGGAGTCTTTAGAGGAACCTCCATACTGCTTTCCAAAATGGCTGAACAAGTTTACACTCCCACCAACAATGCAATAGGAGTCCTTTTAGACACATCCCCTCCAACATCTGTTGCTATTATATTTCTTGATTATAGCCATTCTAACTCTGGTGACCTGGAATCTCAATGTTGTCTTGATTTGCATTCTGTAATGGCTAGAGAAGTTGAGCGTTTTTTCAATTGTCTATTGGCCATTCTTATTTCCCCTTAGAGAAGTTCTCTTTAAGTGTTTAGCCCACTTGTTGCTGGGTAGTTGTATCTTCGATGATTTGTTGTCCTTTGTCCTTGTCCTTTGTATGGCTAGTGAAGCTCTTCTCCCAATCAATTGGCTTTCTGTTGATCTTGCTGGCTATGTTCTTTACCATGCAGAAACTCTGCAGTTTCATGCAATGCCTTTTTTTCCAACCTTTTTCGATGTGTTGTGTTTCTGGGTCTCTATTAAGACATTTTTTGCTTGTGCTAAGGAGCCCTAGAGTTTCTCCTGTTCCTTCCTGTAATATTTTCAGGTTGTCTGCTTTGACTTTGAGGTCTTTGATCCATTTGGAATTGAAAGAATACATTTAAAGAAATAAAAAAATGTTTAAAAATTAGGTAGAAAAGAGTTCTTCGATTTTTTTTTTTGTGAGGTGGATCTTGTTTCTCCCCTGAGTCCATAACCAGTCTCTTGATGGAGTCTCTGATTTGCTTGTGTCTTTTGGTTTTCCTGTGGCTTGATTGCTTTCTTAAGTCAGTTTGTTTGAGACAGCAGAAAGGAGCTCTGCCTTACCCAGAACTTTATGACCCACCTTCCAGGCTAGTTCAGTGGGAGGGAGATCTACTTTGAGTATCACAAAAGAGGGAGATGACTGTTTCCTTTAGCTTGTAGTTGCTGTGATGGGCTAGGTTTTAGGTAGGGTTGTGGATTGTCAGGAATCAGTAGTTTTCCCTGAGGGGCTAGCTCCTGAAATATTCACAGAGCCCATCCTGGAGCCATTCTTAGGATTTATGTTTGCTGAGTTTCAATTGTTTTCCTTTTATCCCTCCTGGGCTGGGTCTGCTGCCAGGGTTGCATGAGGAGTGGCAGCATCTGGCTGTGTTTATCCAATGAAGAAAGTTACTCCTGCATGGGCTGAGCCACCTCTGCCTGGGAAGGGCCACTTTTCCCTAGGTGGAGCTGAGCCTGGCAGGTCAGGTTCCTGTGACCTGTTGAATGGCTCGTATTTTCTTCCAAAGCTGTGTGCTAGCTGCTCTGGCCAGATCTTTGTATCAAAGATGGAGCTCTTCTCCTGTGGTGGGAGGGGCTACCTTCCTACCTCTGCTTTGTGAAAAGGAGCGAGGATGTCTTGGGTTACTCCCTTCATTTCTGGGCCATACATGGTCTGAAACTGTCATCATAATGAATATTCCTACTCCTTGTAAGTCCTTGCTGGCGATGAGTAGAATCCGCTCACATACTTCCTCTGGTGCCTTTGTCCTGGGCTCTTTTCTGCTGATATGGCGGCCGTAACAGCAGCCACCTGCTGCAGACACCGGCAAGTGCTCAAATCTGTCTCCTTAACCAAGCTGCCTGGATTTTTCCTCTCTGGCCAAACTCTCTGTACTATGATGGCATACTTGGTGTGACTTTCTAGCCTAGAACTTTTCACTGGACCACTAAAACTGTTTTCTATGGGAGAGCTTGTTTAACCCCCAGTTACTTCTCTGACATCTTCCTCCTTCACAAGTGTTTGCTTTATCTCTCCTTAAAAAAATAACTGTAAGAAATGTGTAGCACATATATTTTTTAGAGACTTGGGATATAATTTGACAGGGCACATAGTCTAGAAGCATTATTACTTTTCAAAAAATTGCATATAGTTTTATGCTGGCTCACATCTATAATCCTAGCTATTCAGGAAGCTGAGATCTGAGGATCACAGTTTGAAGCTAACCTGTGCAGGAGAGTCTGTGAGACTTATCTTCAACTAACCACCAAAAAGCAAGAAGTGGAGCTGTGGCTCAAGTGTTAGAGTCTAGGCTGGAGTTCAAGTCCCAGTATAGGCACAAAAAGGTTGTTTTCCAAAATGCTATACAAGTGTAATTTCACCAGCAATGTGTGATGTACCCGCTCATGAAGTCCCATTCAACCATGTGTGGTCATTGCCTAATGACTTTGCCACATCTGTGGAGTAAAGGGGTATAGCTCATCAGTACTTCATACTGACCTGACTACTGGGAAAATCTTCATCATTAGTATTACTATTAGTATTTTGGAGAAGAAGGGGAAATCTGAGGCATTCACTCTCATCTGAAAAACGTAAAAATTTACCCAATTCTGGAGAAACATTCTTATAGATTTTATTGGAAATCCATTAATTGTTTCATTTTAAAATATGCATGAAACAATGCATGAAATTATGTTTGCATGAAAATAAATTTGCTTCTGGAACAAGAAAGACAATCCAAACCACAATAGTATGAGAATAAAGGCTTTCTGGCAAAGCAGATCAGATCCTAGCCTGAATGATCCCCTTTCAGCCATGCCACCAGTTTGGTCTTGAGATACAGCAAATCTCACTCCAACCTAAGAAGACAGACCTAATTTTTGAATGACAAAGTCATGGCATCAGTGCAGATAAGGAGCAGCTCCTGATAGGTGATTCTGATTTGTTTCTTGTGCATAAGGCTGGTTAGAACCTCAAGAGAAAAACCCTGTTGGTCTATCATATCCAAACCAGCACTGGGTCTGTGAAATGATTGACTGGAAATTCCTTTTCTAATGCAGAAAAACAAAAGATATGGAAACATCTAAGATTCAGAAACACGTTTGAGTAACTATCTAACAATGCTTTGGTTTAAAGGACTTATCAGGAGAAATGTCTTTCATCTTGTGAAATAATCTTGTGGTAGAAAGTGATCAGTTTTCAGCCTTTGAGAATAGTTTTCACAGTGAAATATTAGTCATCCCCCTTCCTAACATCCTCTTTCATTGTGTTTTTAGGGAAATGTGTCATTCTCCTGTTCACAACCTCAAACTGTCCCTATGACTTTTCTGAGCTCCAGAAGTTACCTGGCTCTGCCTCACACCAACGGAGAGGACATCGTGGCCATAGCTTTCCAATTTCGGACATGGAACAGAGCAGGGCTGTTGCTGACAAGTCAGCTATCTCATAGGTCAGGGAATCTTGTCCTCTTTCTTGGTGATGGGAAACTCAAGCTGAGCCTCTCCTCACGTGGACATCCAGTGAAAACCATCATTGCAGGTGAGACTACACATGAACTGTGCATGGCCATATCATCCTCATCCACGGACCTAAGATTAGTAACCATTATGATAACCAAAACATTGAATCAATAAGATATTCATCATCAGTAAGATATTTACAGTCCCACCCAAAGTGACTCAATTCCTTTTACCTTCTATGTAGGTAACTATAGGTGACTCAAGTGCAGAAGCTTAGCTATATGTAAGCATGAGTGTAAGAGTTCAAAATGAGACTCTTAATGTGTGTGGGCTCATGTTTAATCAATGTGAAACACTAGAAGATACAGGCTTGACTGTAGGGACTCTTGAGCTCTTGAGCATAGTCTTTTTTCCTTCTCTTTCCCCCCATAAACTCTTTTAACTGTCTTTCAACTAAATATCTTCACTAGTTTTCATACTACAGTTAGTCTGGTACTTAGGATGGTTTGACTTAGGATTCTTTTCAACTTTACAGTGGTCCAAAATTTATACACATTCAGTGGGAATCTCACTTTGAATTTCAATCTTACCCTGTGCCAGTGTTGCATGGTCCACAATACTTTCTTAATGCTAAACACAGCAGCAAGTAATAGCTCCCAGTCAACTGTATGGCCACTGGGGAAACTACCTCTCAACAGCCTACTGTGTGGCAAGTGCTGTCTTGGGATACAATTATTCAGTAAATTATAGAAGATAATCAACTGTTTTTATAAAATGTGTTTTGTGTGAGTTTACAAAAATTTAGGCTAATATATATGCTTTGAACATATTTAAGTTGAACTATAATGATTTGTAGGTTACCTTTGCTCAGGATATTTTTTACTATGGTTATTGATATATAATACAAATACATATATGAAATACAATTGCATATAATTAAGCACATATTAATCATATGTTAATTATATAACTATACTATAATTACATATTAGTTATATAATTATAATCATATATAACTAATTATAATATGTAATATAGGGACAATTTTTTTTGTACCTGTCCTGGGGCTTGAACTCAAGGCTTGGGACTCCTTTCCCAATACATCTGTGTTGAGCAATAGCCCTACTTCTGGCTTTTTGGTGGTTAATTGGAAGTAAGAATCTCCCAGGCTGGCTTTGAATGGTGATCCTTAGACCTTAGCCTCCTGAGTAGCTAGAATTACAAGAGTAAGCCACAGGTGTGTGCCTATGCTGAGTTTTCCCTGTGGAGTTCAGCAAATGAGCTCAGCTGGTGGTCAAATATTTATTCCTGTCAGCAATTAGAGTTATCTGTTTAAAGCTATTTAACATGGCAAAATACCACTATCAATAGCTTTATGGCTTGTAAGATACATTAGTTAACCATATTGAGATACTATTTAAGATGGTAAGAATAGAATTAGGCAGCTCACTAGCATGTTTAGATATGTCATAAAAATTCAGGCATTCACTTTTGTTGTCCTTAGGTGAATAAGACTTTTTTCTCTGTTGAACAAAGGTGTTTTCTTTTTCTTTTTTGTCGGTTGTGGGGCTTGAACTCTGGGCTTGGGCGCTGTCCGTGTGCTCTTAAGCTCAAGGCAAGAGCTCTACCACTTGAGCCACAGCACCACTTTTGTTTTTTAGTGGTTTATTGGAGATAAGAGTCTCACAGACTTTCCTGCCCGGGCTGGCTTTGAACCATAATCCTCAGATCTCAGCCTCCTGAGTAGCTAGGATTACAGGCATGAGCCACCAGCGCCTGGCAAAAAAGGTGTTTCCTAAAAATAAATTACTCACTTCTCTTTTTAGCGAAATATGAAGCATTGGCACCTGATGGGAGGATCCCTTCCCCTAAACCTTGGGCAATGGTGTCAGACTTGGCCAAGTGACACATTTTGGCCAGTGGAATATAAGCAGGAGTGAAATATCTAAGTAGAATCTCCAAAAGCCATAGTGAGATTCTGAGGCATGAAGAAGAGATGTAGGCAGTGCCTATAGCCTAGGTCCTGAATGAATAGAACAACAGAAGAAGAATAGACTTGAATCCACTGAAACAGAACCAGAGACTCAAATGAATTTTCCTTTGTCAACAAACTTAATTTAAAAAAAAGCCTTGGTTAGTGTATGGGATACTGATTTATCTTCTTTATGATACTTGATTGGAATTTCGTTTCCTGTAAGGCATGAGTTTGCAGGAGATATAATGCTCAATTCATTTGACCATTCTCTACTCTCTAGTCCATCACTTTAAATAGATTTGTTTCTTAGATTCAACATGAAAATGCTTTAGCAGAAACTACTAATAGTATTAAAAATTATAAGGTAGCAATAGTTGAAAGTACAGTAGCAAATGTGGAAATGGCAGAAAATGTGTAAAAAGATATAAAAATCCCACTACATTTGCAAATATTTAATATTTATGCTAGTTTCTGCATGTTTCCACAAAGCTTGGAGATGTATATTGACCACACAACAGGCTCTTTTAAAAAATGTTTATTTTAATGTGATACTTTAGTTTTACATTTTATGGATTTTTATATTTTATGAATTCCTAAACTGGTATTTTTGCAAATGCTTAGTTTTTGATGCTATACCTGAGCATATTTTTTTCTAAATCATTTTCTTTTAGGGATGGTGCCAGTGGCTCCTGTCTGTACTCCTAGCTACTGAAGAGGCTGAGATCTGAGGATGGAAGTTTGAAGCCAGCCAAGACAGAAAAGTCCCTGTGAAACTCTTATCTCCAATTAACCACTCAAAATTGGAAGTGGTGCTGAGGCTAAGATGGTAGAGTACTAGCCTTGAGCACAGAGAATCTCAGGGACAGTAGCTAGGCTCTGAGTTCAAGCCCCACAACTGAGAAAAATATTCTTTTAAATGATAATACATGAACCTAAGGAAACATCATTATGCTTTGAATTCTGGGAAAAAGCATCTATTTCTCACAGCTCAAAATATTAACTAAAAAAATAGACTGAGATATTTGCTGTCATGTAATGAGAAATATTTTATCACAGGATGTTCAGAGTGAGTTGTGAAGAATTCATTCTATATGGGCTCTAGGATTGGAAGAAAACAACATTGTCTTTTGATGAAGAGTATTTGGACGATCTACTCCTCTTTTCTCATTATTTCTGTTTTCTCTTCTACCCCATCCCTTACTACTTCTCTGACTTAGTGAAAAATGGGAAAAAAGAAAGAAAGGAAGGAAGAAAGAAAGACAGAAAGAAATAAAGAAAGAGAAAGGAAGAAAGAACTTTAGCAATGGTCTTATAGGCTATAATATTCTGAACAGAACATAACTTTCTTTTGTGTTTGTGCCAGTCATAGGGTTTGAACTGAGGGCCTGTGCACTGTCGTTGAGTTTTTGTGCTCAAAGATAGTACTCTAACACTTTGAGCCACATCTCCACTTCCAGCTTTTGGTGGCTAATTGGAGATAAGAGCTTCATAGGCCTTCAGCCTCATTTCCCTGCCTGGGATGGCTTTGATCCTCAGATCTCAGTTTACTGAGTTGCTAGGAGCACAGCCACTAGCACCTGTCTTAGATTTTTTATTTGAACACATATAAGGACCACACAGGCCAGTCCAGAGCTGTGGATGTAAGATAGTGACTCCCTAAGTCTACACATCTATCTTAAACCCTCTCCTGACTCACATGGAGAACAACTTCTTGGATAAAAGATACTGTATGCCAACTTATTTAATTGCCTCCTTAGAACACCTACCTCCAGGCCCAAATGTTCCCTAAGTCTCTCTCTGTGCCCCCACATTATGTACTTAGCCAGTTGACCTGGTGGACCTTAAGTGTGTTATGTGGACTTTGCAGGCAGGTTTGCTACTTATGTGCATTCACTGTTTGCCACTTATCTGCATCACCAGCCGTTAGGGGACACGCTTCAGTCATAGGAATTCTGAATAATTGATTTTGGTTATTACCAGGTGATGGATTAAATGATGGTCAGTGGCATTCAGTGTCCTTATCCTCTAAAGGGAATCATGTGAACATGAAGGTGGACAGCAATGCAGCCTCTGCTGCTCACACCCTTTCTGGATGGATGGGCCCCAGTGATTCTTATTACTTTGGAGGTAAGTGAAAGGCACAAGAAATATTGCTAATCAGCCCTCTGTATCTTTTCAGTCCCCAAATTTTATGGCAAATAGTCTTTTAACTGAAAATGTACACTGATGTTGAAGAATTATTTTTCTCTTCATTTATAATTGATGGGCAATGGTGAGTGGGCATAGACAATCACTGCCTAAAATGACTGTCTATATGTTTGGCCTTACTAATGAAATTGGTTTCATACCTCCTCCATAGCCCTTGTTCTCAGTTCTATAGCTCCACATTGTGACCACCTGAAAGGTCCAAAAATACTGATGCCTGGACTCCACCTTCAGGGATTCCTATGTAACTGGTCCTGAGGCTTGTAAAATTGTTCGGGTTATTGTTATATGCAGACATTACTGAGGGTCTCTTTTAGTGTGACTGTAAATTTATTGTCCAAAACCAAGACATTTTTGAGACTGAGAGGGATGATAATCAGTAATGATGACAGGACAGCAGGCATAAGCCAATGCTATCTGGTCACAGGAACCATCTATACATTATTTATTGCATTTGGGCCTGACAGTCCTAGAGTGTGGTTTTCTTTTTGTGAGAGGTCCACCAGCACTTTAACAATGTTTTATGTCAAATAGAAATGTATGAACTCTATGATTTAGGTATCTTTTATCTCAGCTTGACTTCTTATTTATTTTAATTTAATTTTAAGAGTTGTTCCAGAAGCAGTTTCACTGACACTTTCACTCTAGTGTATTGTGGGATACTTGGTGCCTCCTTCTAAGGGTGGAAAGTTAAGGTACCTGTGTACTTACTCTTCAGTAGTAGGCTTGAACCACAGAATTTGGAGATTCTAACATAGAATAACAATTGCTCTGTCTTTTTTTAGAGACACTGAGTCTTGAATTCCCTCAACAGTAATGGATACATTGCATTAATTTAGCAATAAACATTTACTTTTCCACTTTATGTCTCAAATGAGGACCTGGGAAAGTGAATCCCTACTTTATAGTTGGATTTTTCAGGCAGCCCTCTGCATGGACAAATAAAAGCCTGCTTGCATGTCGAATCTCTCTGTTCTGGATCGCTTTCCTAACTGGAGATGCAAAGCATTTAGGCATTTGATCTTCTTTTTCTTCTTCGAAGTTGCATATGAAGCATGTTCTCATTTTGACCACTGGATGTTGTTTAATTTAGCTCTCAACAGAAATAGATATAGCATTTTTACAGTTGCTTGAGGTGTATGATTGGAGAACTAGTGGCTCAACAAAAACAATACTGACTTAATGTCCCCATTCCCTGTTGTAAAGTTTGTCCTAAGTGCAGGAAGCAGAAGTCATCTATAGGAAGACATCCTGGCTTTTTTTTCAAAAAACATTCTACATTCCAGAAATTCTTCACAAATAAAATTTGTTCACTATTACAGAAATTAGAAAATGATAAGGAATGTTATAGAGTTCTTTATGATGGAACATTGGGTTTGAAATACCAAAGCCTTCAGTTTTAATTGGTGAGATTCATTATACCCACTATTGACTTTTCATCCTGATGCAAGTCTTGTTTTTTTTTTTTTTTGTATGTTTTTTACCTGTCCTGGAGCTTGGACTCAGGACCTAGGCACTGTCCCTGAGCTCAAGACTAGCACTCTACAACTTGAGCCACAGTGCCACTTCTGGCTTTTTATGTTTATGTGATACTGAGGAATCAAACCCAGGGCTTCATGCATCCTAGGCAAGCACTCTGCTACTGAGCCACATTGACAGCCCGTCTTGAGTTGTTTTGAATTTGATTTCTTAGGGTGCAAACATTGAAGCCTGCTTAAGCCACTGCAACAAAAGTGTGTATGTTATGAAAATTCTTAGGTAGAAAGTGAGTATACATTATGCAAAAATTAGAGGAGGTTAGAGTCTAGTTTCCTTTTTTTTGGAAAGTGTACCAGTGATTTGAAGACCAAAAAATAAAGATGAGACATCAAAGTTGCACACTGGTGGCTCAGGGCTATAGTCCTACCTACTCTGGAGGCTGAGATCTGAGAATTGTGGTTTGATGCCAGCCTGAGCAGGAAAATCCATGAGTCTCTTATCTTCAAATAGCCACCAGAAAACCAGAAGTGGTGCTGTGGATCAAAGTGGCTCAGAGTGCTAGCCTTGAGAGGAAAAGCACAGGGATAGGGCCCAGGCCTTGAGTTCAAGCCCTACGACTGACATAAACAAACAAACAAAAAGAAAAAAACTCAGAAAATTTAATGTACAATGGACAAAATATTTCACTCATAAGAATTTTCAGTTTTAGAAGTAAAAGTCTTATAAAATATAAAGTAACACTATAAATATTGACATAAGTCCTCTTTAATGACTAGAAACACAAAACCATAAAAAGAATGATGAAGCTATTTGCTACATTATAAGTTTTTGAAACACACTAAGTATCATTTTACAAATAATCATTTAATTTTAATATCATTTTATAAAAGAATGCTTCCCATCATTTTATTCTTTGCATAAAATTTGCAGTATTTATTTGAAATGTTCTAGCATTTTAATATTTGCATATGATGGGCAAGTGTTCGATAACTGCATTGTAATTTTTGTACACATTGTTATGAGTAGGGCTCTCCAGGAAGTTGCCTCTATGTGAAATTAGGTGTCTTAGTGGGATTAATTATTGTAAACAGTCCTGGAAGGTTGAGAGAAATGTTGGTAACAGATGGTCAGGCAGAGCTTTGATGATGCCTTTACAGCAGAATGCAAGCTAGATCCCACAGGAGACAGCAGAAATATCCACCAATAGAGTCCCAGCCAAGCAGTCAGTGAATGCATTGCATTTCCCCATTGCGTCAGTGGATACTGGCCAGCCCTCTCACTGCTGGATGAGAGTCAGCTACTGCCAGTCAGGGAAATTCATAGAGAGCCTTCTTCAGTTCTGAAAAGGAGTCAAGGATGGGGAGCTGGGTTCTGTTCAGCTATGTCTATTTCTCAAAGAGTTGCTTTATCCAAAATCGTTTTCCAAGTATTCCATCATCTCCTTTCTATAACTTCCCCCTTTACTGCTCATAAGTCTTATATCATGCAAATCTGAGAGTTTGTCCTTGTTTGTACAATAACTCAGCAGAGAAAGGGAGAATAATTAAGTGCATGCTGGTTCCATATGGGCTACAGGATGTTATCTGGACTAGTCCTGCTTTGATTTTAATTTCCAAGTCATGTCTTTGCTTATCATTGCTTTAAGAACATTGTCTTTCAATACTGTGAATAGTTTGCAGTGGGCTTTTGTTTTGGTCATGCTTGTTGCTTGTCTTCTGCCTGTGTCTTAATATTTAGGCTGTCCAGAAAACATCTCTGGCTCTGGATGTGGGAGCTGTCTGGAAGGGTTCCAGGGCTGCCTGAGACTCATCTCTATTGGTGAAAAAGTGGTGGATCCCATCTCTGTACAGGAAGGGGTGCTGGGGAGTTTCAGTGACCTCCAGATAGATTCCTGTGGCATTATAGACAGGTAAGAATCATTCAGGTCACTCTGTCATGTCTGATTTCAGTTTTTAATTTACTTAATTAGTTCATAAACACACGAACAGCTGGACAAGTGCATCCTTTCTTTCCTCTGTTGCTGATATTCATGACAAAGGAGAAAGTATATATATATACTTAGTTAGCTCTGCGTTATTATTACTGAGAGAATCCATTTATAAAGACAAAAGATTTATTCTGGCTCACAGTTTTGTAGGTTTCAAACTGTAGTCTGTTGGTACAGTTCTTTGAGGCCTTTGGTGAGACAGCAAAACATAGTATGCTTTGAATATCTCATGCTCAGATTCATGAAGGGCAAGAGACTGAATCCCATAACACTCCGAAGGTCACACTCCCTGAAAATCCCTGACTAGGCCCAGGTCTTAAAACTTCTACCACCTCCTGGTAGAGTTATAGACTCAGGATCAGGCCTTGGAAGCCTGGGGGGACTTCAAGATCTAAACATTGATAATAGAAACATAATGTCTTGGTTTTCTTTTAGGTTAATATTGTGCCTTGCAAAATTATAATATTTTCTTGGAAGACAAAGTCATGAATTTTCCTTTACTATGCTGTTAAGCAACTTAGTTTTTGCAAAATGCTGGCTATGCTGTGTATTTACTGATGCAAATCAATACTGACAAGTTAAGGCATCTAACAGTTGTATTACACAGAACAGGTTAGAAAAATGGATGTCCACTGAGTCTTCAGTGGAGAAGGAATAGAGTAATTACAGAGAACAAATAAGCTAGGCTAGAACTAAAAATGATTAAATTACTGGAGCTAAGAGGCTTTCTCTGTTTCTCTGTGCTATTTTGTTTTGTTTTATTTTTTCTGCTCCATTCACAGCTATGCTAATAGAATGACTAAGGACGCATGAGTGCTGTGTGCTTAGTGTTCACTCTTTAGCTAAGTTGGCCATGATTCATCATGAACCTTATGACCAAGCTGAGTCTCATATAAAGATTTTTAATATCCTTTCAACTTTGGCCATTTTAAAACTGACAATCTTTCTAAAACCAGTAACTAATTTAAAATAAGCATTTTCTGGTTTCAAAATCTAATACATAATAAGTAAAATGTTCACCATTTCTAGTTATTATTGGTAGCTGAGATTTTTCCATGTTTATATACATATATATGTATACACATATATACATCTACATGTACATATGTATATACATATATACATATATGCACATATGCATATATACATACATACACACATAGATAATTTTCAAAGAACAAAAGTATAGGTAGTGCTTTGATTACATGCTACAACAATTTCAGTGGTACAGTTGCTTTGTACAATATTGCTCTGTACAATATTGGAGGGAAGAAGTTACAACTGGCTAGCTGGTCCTTTCCCCAATGATACCTGCATTCCCCTGATACTTGTTGTTTTCTTTTGTTTTGATGTATCTGTGACCCACTGACTAGTCCTTGAGCAGCAGCACAGAACAGAATGGAGCTTCCTAAATAGTTTTGCCCCATCCTCCACTAGAATTTGCTTGCTCCTGTGAATCTCTTGTTTTGAATAAAATTTTAGAATCACATGAATTTTCTGTTAACTGTGTGCTTGCTTATGGATCACGTGGGTGCTCACAAATTGTATTTGTGAGCAATAGAGCAGCCTTTTTGTCCTGTTTCAATGTAAATTTGGTTGTTCAATGTTTAATTATATATGATGTGATGAATTTCAGTTGTTTTTTTTAAACTAACAGTTGTTGTGAAAGCCATTTGAAGATGAATTGGAACAAAAGGGAATAGGATCAATCCAAATCATTTAAATTGCTTCAGACTTGTGGACAAGGCTGCATTTATTTTAGTGAGTTTATGTGAATTAAAATACTGATAGACATGATAAGAATGAAAGCCAGTAGTCTGGGAAGTTCTGAGGAATGAGGAAACATATATAACAGATTACAGTGCTTCTAAGCAAAGTAATTTCATTAATCATATGTACCAAAAGCATATTTATGTTTTAGAAAAGAACCTTGTCCTTTTACTAAAAACTGTGTTGTTGTTCTTGTTGTTGTTACAATGCCCTATTGGTCAAAGCTGGTCACAACCCATGTTCTTGTGGAGGTGCTGGTGCTGGACTTGTGAGCGAGAGGTTCGCACGATCATATGACAAGAACATATGGTAGGAGGGAAACAATTGTGTGTCTATCTGAGGTCATTGCAAGTTATTGATACTCCTAGTCATATATATGCCGTCAACCGGTGAAAAATGTATAGAGCTAATATAAGTACAAGTATTGTCACAAATGTTGCACTTAACCAGGCTTTTTAACCTTGTTTGTGTTCCATTCATAGACCAAAGGGCAGAGCCAACTTCCCCTGTCCTATTGGGGTGTTTCTATTCACTGTTGTCCTTCATCTCTCCTGTAACAAAACAGCACGACAAGCACATTTTATAGTGACTGCCTTTGGGAAACACCAATGTTTCTCTGTCTTCCTTTAGGTGTTTCCCCAGCTATTGTGAACATGGGGGTAAATGTTCCCAGACGTGGGCTGCCTTCTCCTGTGACTGCACCGATACTGGCTACACAGGAGCTACCTGCCATTCCTGTAAGCTGCACATGTTGCTGGCTCTCCTTGCTGTCCTGATCCTGTGGAGTTCCAGTTCCCTGTCATTATTTTGTACACATGTCTGTCTTTTTAACTAAGTTGCAAGAAACAAGAGAATATGGAGTTTTAAAGACTAACCTTCCTTCGTTCCTTCTTTCCTTCTTTCCTACCTTCTTTACTTATTTCTTTCTTTTCTCTCCCTCCTTCTTTCCTTCTCCCCTTTCTTTCACTCTTTTCTCCCACCATCTATTTTTGTGCTGGAACTAAGGATTGCAATCTGGGCCTCCATTTCTTACTCAGTCAGCTGGGATTCTGCCACTTGAGTCATACTTCTACTTCTGGATTTTGCTGGAAATAAAAGCCTTAAGGATTTGTCTGCCAGAGCTGGCTTGGAACTATGATTCTCATATCTCTGCCTCCTGAGTAGCTAGAATTATGGTCATGAGCCACCAGTGCCCAGCTAGAGACTCATCTTTGCCTGGCATACTTTTAAACTAATTTTATTCCCAAATGATGTTAAAGCAGCTCACAATTATAATATCAAATATAGAATGCAAAAGAGAGAAAAAGAACAGGTGAAGGGGAAATAAACTATGGCCAAAAAAATTACTAAAGGACAAAGATGATTCATTCTTTTTTGTTTTCTGTTCCCCCAACTGGGGACACATTTAGTTCTGAATTTTTTTTTCCAAAGTAAAATGATGTGTGAGCAGCCAGATTCTTGATCATCTCAGAGGAAGCAAAATTGGGGTGCTATCATGGTAGCAGTTCTAGATAGCAAAAAAACAGATAAACTTTCTGGTCCTGTTTAACCTAGGCATTGCTAGTGATGAGAAGAATTAGCATAAACTGAGAATTTTCAGCATGTCTGCAAGATTCTAGTCCTTTGCATGTTTTAATTCCATAATTCCTTAAAACTCATGGAGAGAAGAGTTACCAGCTACCCTGAGCTTGAGGAAGGAGAGGCAGGAGGCTGAGGATGCTGCCCTGGGTGTCACAGCTGTGATCACAAAGGCCCTGGCTCCAGGGCCAGGCCTGTCAGGGATCATGCTGGTTTCCAGTCAATGTTCAAACTAACAAGACGTTGTTCAGGATGAGACATTAGCAAATACGAGCAATGTGACATGAAAATCCTGGTTTCCTAATGATCAGCCTTAGTGTTTTGGTTTTTTTTTTTTGGTACATAATTGCTGATGCTTCTGAGTGCCTTCTCTCCCCCGGCTCCCAGCACCTCTTCTCTCCCCACGTCTTTATAGGAAGAACTTGCCTTTTTGTGTCTGCTTTCTTTAGTTTCTTCTCCTGGGGAAGCTTATTACCCCTTCAAGAAATCTTCCATGTAAATTATTCTAGTACACATAAACTGAAGACAAAGCAGAGCATGGATTGTCATAAATATATATTTTCTGGAACAGAATCCCAGAGATGCTAGAATGGGTGTTGTGAAAACTTCCCAGCGTCTCCAGTGGTGTGAGTTCCACGAGAAGCCCTCGGCAGACAAGAGGGAGTGACTCGTCCACTAAACACACCATGAGCAGCTCTCCTCTATTTCCAGTCAGAATTTGCCATGTAACTCCTACTTTGGAAGACACTAGACTTCTCAGAAACCTTAGGGCAAGGATTTGGCTGAACTCCAAGAAATAAGGTTGTGGTGGTCTCTTGTACTTAGTACTGCTACCATTACACCTAGTAAAGTGCTTTAGTCAAGGAAGATACCTTCTGAATATTAACCATTAATGAATGAGTCTTTTTTTCAAGATAATGTCTTTATTGTGAAAATACCATACAGAGGGGTTACAATTTCATGGGAAAGGTAATGAGTACATTTCTTTTCAAGCATTTTTGCTCCTCCTTTGTTTCCCCTTCTCATTCCTTCCAATCGCCCACCCCCAGCCAAAACTGTAAAGTTCGTTTTTCGACATAATGACTTGTACATCTCATTGTTGCAATGAGTCCACCTGTATATCCATTTAATGATTTATTTTTCCCTTCCCATCCACAAATTATAACAACATCAAATACAATGAAAGCAGGAGTTATACCGTGGGGGAGGGTCATACAAAGCAACAAAGAAATCATCTTATAAATATGTTAGAAACAATCGCATGAAAGAAAAAAAAACATTTGAATACATCTCTTAGGGTTCATTTCCCTAACATCACCTTATCTGACTTTTTCTGCTTGACTCACATATACTAGATATTGCAAATAAGGGAAACCATGGGACCTATGTTTCTTTGGGCCTGGCTTACTTCACTTAATAGAATTTTTTCCAAGTCTTTCCATTTCCTAACAAATGGGGCAATGTCATTCTTTCTGATGGAGGCATAGAATTCCATTGTGTATATATACCACATTTTCTTGATCCATTCATCTACTGAGGGGCATCTGGGTTGGTTCCATATCTTAGCTATAGTAAATAATGCTGCAATAAACATAGTTGTGCTGGTAGCTTTAGTGTGGTCTTGTTTGTAAACATTTGGGTAAATGCCCAAAAGTGGGACTGCTGAGTCATAGGGGAGCTCTATGTGGAGTCTTTTGAGGAACCTCCATACTACTTTCCAAAGTGGTTGAACAAGTTTACACCAACAATGAAGTAAGGTTCCCTTCTGTCCACATCCCCTCCAGCATCTGTTGTTTTAAGAGTTCTTGATTTTTGCCATTCTAACTGGGGTGAGGTGGTATCTCAATGTTGCAGCCCCACAGGTACTTCAGGTAGCGGTCCTTCATGGACTGCCATGAGTGCTGAGTGACCGAGGCCTTCTCCATGGCTTTCCCTAGGACTGTGCAGGTGACCAAGCTGGGTGAGTGGGCGTTTGTCTTTGGCTCCTTTGTCAAATATCAGCTGCCTGTAGGTGTGTGGTTTTATTTCTGGATCTTCTATTCTATTCCATTGGTCTTCAGGTCTGTTTTTGTTCCAGTACCATGCTGTCTTTGTTATTATGGCTCTATAGTAGAGGTTGAAGTCTGGCATCGAGATCCCTCCCATGTTGTCTTTTTTTGCCTAGAATTGTTTTGGCTATTCTAGGTCTTTTGTTGTTCCATATGAATTTTTGGACTGTTTTCTGTATTTCAGAAATGTACATCATTGGGATTTTTAATAGGAATTGCATTCAATTTTTATATTAATTTTGGCAGTATTGCCATTTTCACTATATTGTCTGACTATCCAAGAGCATGGAAGGTCTTTCCATTTCCTAGTGTCTTCTATAATTTTTTTCCTTGCCTGGTTGGTAGACTTATCCTGTGGTGAGAGTGGGGTGTTAAAGTCTCCTAGTATTATCATATTGGCATCTATTTTATTCTGTAAGTTTGAGAGTATTTTCTTGACATATTTGGGTACTCCAATGTTTGGGAAGTATAAGTTGATAATAGTAATATCCTCCTCTTTTATTGTTCCTGTGTTAATATGTAGTGTCCTTCCTTGTCTTTTTGTATTGATTTTAATGAAAAGTTTATTTTTTTCAGATATCAGGATTGCTACACCTGCTCTTTTACTGGGGGCATTTGATTGGTAGATCCTTTTTTGCAACCCTTCACTCTGAGTTTGTTTGTATGTTTGGCTGAGAGGTGGGTCTCCTGAAGGCAACAGATGGATGGGTCATGTTTTCTGATCCAATCTGCAGTTCTTTTACTTTTGATTGCTGAATTAAGACTGTTAATATTTAAGGATATTATATAGAGATGCATTATGGTCCCTGTCATTCCCTGTTTTCCTAAGTTTTTCTTCTTTCCTTTCCTCCTGTGCTTACTAAGTTACACTTCTATTAATACCTGTCTGGTGCAGGTCCCTGTTCCTGGTTGCTTTCTTCAGGTTGTGTTCCCCCTCTTAGTATTCTTTGTAATGCTGGCTTATTGTTTATTAATTCATTTAGTTTTTCTTTACTATTCAAAATTTTCAATTATCCATCGAATGTGAATGCTAGCTTTGCCGGGTATATCAGTCTGGGCTGGCAGTTATTGGTTCTCAGGGCTTAGATGGTACTTTCCCAGGCCTTTCTTGCATTCAATGTCTGTGTGGAGAGATCTGCAGTTATTCTAATTTGTTTCCCATTGTAGTATAGCTCCTTCTTCAATTTTACTGCATGCAAGAATGTTTCCTTATTATTCAGATCTATCATTTTTACTATAATGTGTCTAGAAGTGTTTATCCTGGGATCCTGCTTGTTAGGTCTTCTATATGCTTCTGTTATGTAGGTGAGGTGTTCTTTTTTAAGATGGGGGAAATTTTCATTGATAATCTTGTTACTAATACATTTTTAAAATTAAGAATTATTACATGGTTTAGATAATCAGAGATCATTCAGCCATTACAATTTATAACTAAGAATAACTCAGTTTTTCTAATTTAGAAAACAATTTTCAGTTTCTAAAGTAGCTAGGATCCAAATTTATAGTATTCACACTGATATCTCTTAAAATCTCACTATGCTTCAGAACTCCAGCTGCCTGATTTGATGTGGGGAAGCTGTGACTCAGGATGGAACAATATAGCATTTGGGTGGGTGGAGGTGGGCATTACATAATTAATAACAGAGCCATCCATCCCAGAGTGGCCCCTCTGTGACAATTGGTGTTCTCTACAGCTATGTATGAGCAGTCTTGTGAAGCCCATAAGTACCAGGGCAAAGACTCTTCAGGACTCTACTACATCGATTCAGATGGAAGTGGACCACTGGGACCAGCTCTGGTGTACTGCAACATGACAGGTATGCTAATAAACTATCCTATAAGAGTTAACTTCCTGTAAGGCTTGCTGTGTGCAGCAGCAAATGACTTCCTGTTGGCTGCATAGTGTCTAGGCTATCTTGAGCTGAGATCAGAATCAGGCATATTTCTGTTTGTAGCTTCAATGCCAGGTGGCAGAGCTCCACATACTACTGCAATGTATCCATCTAGATACTATACTAGAATGCTATGCAGTGAAAACTGACTAGGCTTACTCTGAGACAGTCATAGTGCTTATCATTTTACGATGGCTGTAGTCAAGCAGGCTGAATTCAAACCATGTCCCTTAAAAGTCACAAATGTAAGAGTAGGTTAAAAAAGTGTAGCAGTACTCTGGCACATGTTTTGAACTAATGTGCTTTGCCTCTTTTGGAAGTTGTTGTAGTAATTGAACAAAACAAGCTTCAGTATTCCAGACTGGAGCCCAGGACAAAGCAAAACATATAGATTATTATGTCATATGGCTGCAGATAAACATATATATATATATATATATATATAAACAAGCACACACATATGCATTACACATTATGACATACTATAACAAAGATGAGGAAACATACTTTCCATCACAAAAGGAAAATAAATAATTGCCTTACAGTTTGGCTCACAATGAGGTCTGAGAATATTAATTGTAATAGTGGATGATTTTTAAAGATTTTTAAATATCTTAAATTACACCAAATCCAAATCTGTTGCCCAGACTTCTTGGGACTTCTTCCATCTGCACACAAGCATAACAGTCATCGTGGCCTGTAGCATACCCCTTTAAAGTTTAGGCAAAGAAAGTTGGTGCAAGTGGCTCACATAATCCCACCTGCTTAGGAGGCTGAGATCTGAGGATCATGGTTCAAAGCCAGCCCAGGCCAAAAAGCCCTGTGAGACTCTTAGCTTCAATTAACCACTCAAAAACAGGAAATGGCCTTGTGGTTCAAAGTGGTAGAGCACTGGCCTTGAGCAAAAAGAGCTCAGGGACAATGCCCAGGCCCTGAATTCAAGCCCCATGACTGAAAAAAATAGGTCAGGCAAATGAACATGCAGTTTGGTTTGGTTTGATTAATTGGGATATAAAAACACTAACATCATACATTGCAATATCCCCTGGTTTCTGTTTATTATGTCAAAATATATCTGCCTTCCCACATGAGAAAATAGCTCTGGACAGTATAAGAGACATTTACACAAAAAGAAATGGTTGGGTAAAAGAAGAAATATGTCTTTATTTTACATTCTCAGCTATACATACACCCAAAGTTGCCAGCTATTCTTGTGTCTATACCTCTCTCCTACATTTAAAGAACGACATAATAGGACACAATAGTCTAATGTATCATCATATGGCATATTATGAAGTAATAGACATAGTAGACATAATATGACACAACAGCCATTTTATGTGATTTCAAAGCTATCTTAAAGATGCTATTTTTAAGATACATGAAAATAACGTGTTGAAAAATATTAGAGAAACATAATGTCTCTTTCTGAAGGTCTGTTAAATAATAATAATTTAAGGATAAATCCTTCAAATTGTCTTTTTTGAAGATTAGTTTGAAAATTATCTTGAGCATTTTCCATCTCTCTACATGACTAAAAGTCTGATAATATTTTAACCATGAAACACATTACACCTGTGACACTGACCGCCAGTCTGTGTGGGTTTGTTTTCACAATTAATGATGTTCCCACATCATTGTTTTTTTAGTATCATCATCTCTGTAAATAAGTGACAAAGTGATATTAGAACTGGTACACATAAGCTAGCAAGTTTTCTATCTATCCCTGTTATCTTGGTTCTATTTGATAGAAGAAATCCAGAGGGTGCACAGAATAAATAATTATAAACACTAATGCCAGGTTCATTTATTTGTTGTTCTGTGAAACTGTTGTTATATAAATTGCCCAGGAAAAATGTGATTAAAAGAAAATAACCTATGCACTTAAAGTTTCTGCAGAACAACAAAGGAGGAGGTAACAATGCTTGATAGAAGATGTCCTCATTACCTTGCTCATGTAACTGTAAACCCTCTGTGCAGTTTTTACAATAAAAACATATTAAAAAACAGAAATTCTGATAACTCCCTTCAGCATCTGTTTTCTAGCACCCTGACAATAAAATGGGCACCAACCTTGATGACTCAGTTTGCACCTGTTCTTATTAGTTTTCATGAGTTTGGTGATACTGCCCTTCATAGGATTCAGTTGGTATTTTTTCCACCACCTCTTGGGTTCTTCCCCGGATCTGTAGCTGCATGGGATACATTAGGACTCTAAGCACCAGTGGGGCTGTTAGATGTGACCCTTGATACATGGTGCAGAAGAGGAACCAGGCAAATATGAGCCTTTTATACCATTATGGTATGAAATGTTCTGGGTAGGGTGAGGGATCACAAAAGTCAGTATGGTTTTCTTCTCTTATAAACATTTTGAAATATGTTTTAATTTAAAAAAATCTTACCCAAAGACCTCCCCATAGGTGATCAATGTAACAGGAGTACATCAAAATCTGTCAGCATATATTTCCAAGTTTTCAGTAAGTGGTGGTTATTGCCAGAAATACTTAATGAGATGTATGAATGTCCACATTGTTTCACTGTCCAACTATTGATGTGTTACTATCACCATACTATTCAATATTTATTTTAGCACTGGTACCAGTGGCTCACAAACATAATCTTAGTGAATTAGGAGGCTAATCTTGATCTGAGGATCAAGATTAAAAGCCAGCCCAGGCAGGAAACTTTATGAGAGTTTTACCTCCATTTAACCAGCAGAAAGCTGCAAGCTGTGGCACCATGGTAGAACACCATTCTTGAGCAAAAAAGCTAAGGGACCATGCTCACACCCTGAGTTCAAGCCCTCCTTTGGGCTCCCTCTGAAAGGGTGGCTATATATGTTAACTCACTACTGAAATGCTTAATTAGCATGAAGCCTTGGTTTGATCTTGAGTTTGATCTTGAGTACCCTCTACCACAAATACATAATATACATATATATTGGTTTGATCTTGAGTCCCTTCTACCACAAATACATAATATACATATATATAAATTTGTGTATACATATATACATAAAGTTTTACATTACATATGGTTACTTTATAATCAGTAAAATAAAACTAATATAATCAATATATGAATATAATAAATATATTTATAATAAAATATTATGTAAACAACATAATTATATATAATTATAGAAATATACATCTTATATTTTTATGATATGTTTCTATATGGATGACATATATAGAAATAGATGATATATTTCCATAATTATCTATTACATAAATAAAATATACAGCATGTAATTTTTTGTAATTATATTGGATTCTTTTTTTTCTGGAGGAAGGACAGTTTTATTATTTTCATGTACAGAGAAATCAACATTGCAGGCTTAGCCCAGCTTAGTGGCCAGCTCCTTAGCCTTTGCCTTTTCCAGCCTGGCAATTGGAGCTACAGATTTTGGACCCAGGACATTGCCTCCACAGTGACGACGGATCTCATCATATCTGTCATTGTAATTGGTCCTGATATCCTCCACCAGCTTCACCAGAGATCCTTTGTCTTCTGAGTTAACCTGAGTGAAGGCAACGGTGGTGCCTGTTTTCCTGTAGACGAGATGCCCCAGCCTGGCCTTCCCCTTAATGATGCAGTAGGGAACACCCATCTTGCGGCTCAGGGCAGGCAGGAATACAACCAGCTCGATAGGTCCACATCATGTGCAGTCACCACAAGCTGGGCCTTCTTGTTCTCCACCAAGGTAATAACCCCTGCTTGAAGGACTAGCGGTTGCTTAGTGGTGACGTCTCCTTTGCCAGCAGCTTTCTTCTCAGCTCGGGCCAACAGTCTCTGCTTCTTCTCTTGTTTTGTCTCTGGCCTGTACTTGTGGGCCGGCTTAAGTAGCTGTGTAGCTGTCTGGCGGTCCAAGGCCTGGGTAAACTGGTTAATTGCATGGGGCACTTTCAGCTGCTTGCAGAGGCTTGCCCTTTGGCTCTGCAGCTGGATGTAGTGAGGTCCCTTTTGGGTTGGATGCCCTGTCCAATGCCAAAGTTCTTGGGCCTTTTTTCAGACAGAGGATTTACTACCTTCTTGGCCTCCTGCTTCTTCATGACTGCAGGGGCCGGGCCGGTGCTACCTTATCCCCTTGGCCTTCTTTCCTTTGGGCATCTTGGGTGGCTGGAGAAAGCTTATATTGGATTCTTATTCCTTCTATGTATCTGCTATTTATTTGATTATCAAAGACAAATGTTAACCAGGTGAGGATTATGCTTATTAAAATATAATCATAACACATTTAAAAAAATGCCCTCTTCTAATGCTATGTTATCAAACACATTTCACTAAAAGTAATTCCTACAAAAACATGGCCATGTAAATTTTAGTCAAGAATCACTAATACTAACATTCAAAAAACTATACTTATGTTTATTCTACTCTCAAGGATATCTCTTTTTTTGCTTGTTTTGTTTTGGTCAGTCGTGGGACTTGAACTCAGTGCCTGGGTGCTGTCCCTGAGCTTTCTCATTTAAGGCTAGTGCTCTACCACTTGGAGCCAGAGTGCCATTTCCATTTTTCTGGAGGTTAGTTTGGGATAAGAATCTCATGGACTTTCTTGGCTGGGCAGACTTAGAACTGCAATCCTCAGATCTCAGCCTCCTGAGTAGCTAGGATTATAGGCGTGAGCCAACCAGTGTTCAGCTGAGATTTTTTTTTAACTAATTCAAGTGAGAGATGTTTCTCTTTTGTATATTTATCTTAGCAATTTCAACCTAGTTTTGATGTCTTTCTTAGTTCAACTCCATTTCTGCCCACCAGATACTGTGTGGACCTCAGCACAGCACAATGGTTCCCACCTAGTCAAAGTCAAAGGCTTGCAGGGAGATCACCCACAGCCAGTGATGTTCAAGTACAGGGCCAGCATGGACCAGCTGCAGGCCATAGTCAACCATGCAGATCACTGCCACCAGGAGCTGACTTTCCACTGCAAGAAGCCCAGGCTCTCAGAGCACCATGGTAAGTAACGAGCCTTAGTAGACTCTGCCATTTGTACTCTGAAGAATCTGTGTAGGCACAGGTTCCTGAGACTCCTGTCTCCATAGATCCCAGGTCACAACTGGCAGTTACAGAGATGTGTTTCCATAGGGTGAAGAACAAGGCCAGTAGGTTGCTATTTTTTGCTCAAAGTCTGTTCTCAGTCTCATCTGAGCAATAATGATCTCCTTATCAGGCTGCCTTGAGTGAAAAGATTGCTGAACCTGTGGCTTAGTAATGTGAAAGTGGGTATTCAATGAGTCTTTTTCATAGACTGAATGCAATTAGTATCTTAGTACATGCTAACATATTTGGTACCATACAGTTATTTCAGGACTCAATATAAGGTAACTCTGCTGACAGTTGTTTTTTTTAGTTCCTGTTGCAAAATATTACTAGATGTTTTATATTTTCTTTCTTTGAAATTAATCATTTTGCCAGTCAGTATATCCCATTGGTCCTTCTGGTAAACCTTCCTTCTGTGTTCGGGCAGGCTGTGGAGAGAAGTGCTGGGCACTGTCCTCTGAAGTCAAGTTGCACACCGGTCATTTGGCAGCTGTGGCTTTGGGGGGATTATTTAATTTTTCTGAGACTTCACAGTTAACACTGGCCTCACTAGGGCTTGATTGTACAGTGTCTGTACCGTGTGAGAATAAGTGCTGCTTGCTCACAGCTCTCCGGTGGATTAAATTTATAATTAGTACAAGAAGGGTTGGTACATATTTTTAGCTGATTGCCACCAAATACATGAGAAGAATGTAGTTGGCTCCAGGAGAATAAATACGTGCTGGAGAAGCTTTGGATCTGGCTTACTTCACTTAATATGATTTTTTCCAAGTCTTTCCATTTCCTTATAAATGGGGCAGTGCGTTATCTCTGATGGAAGCATAGAATTCCATTGTGTATATACCACATTTTCTTGATCCATTCACACACTGAGGGATATCTGGGTTGATTCTATATCTTAGCTACGGTAAATAATTCTGCAATGCACATAGTTGTGCTGATAGCTTTAGTGTGGCTTTGTTTGTGATCATTTGGGTAAATGCTCAGGAATAGGATTTCTGGGTCATAGGGAAGCTCTGTTTAGTCTTTTGAGGAACCTCCATACAACTTCCCAGAGTGTTAAACACTTTTTAAAGGAACAAAATAAGAAGAATTCATTATCTATACATGCACAAGTTATATAAATTTATTTATTTATTTTTATTGATTTTTTTTATTGTGAAAATACTGTACAGAGGGTTACAATTACATGAGCAAGGTAATGATTACATTTCTTATCAAGCATTGTTATGTACTGCCACCTGGAGACTTTTCAGCACATATTTAATTTAGATAAATATGTTACACACCAAAATTTTTCTGAAACATTTGTCTGTTTGTTTATTTGGTGTATGTGTGTTTGTGTGTGGTGTTTTGGCTTGAACTCAGGGCCTCATGCTCTTGCTCAAAGCTAGCATTCTACCATTTTACACATATTTTCATTTCCAACTATTTTGCTGGTTAATTAGAGATATATGTCACTTGTCTGCCCAGACTGGCATTGAACTACAATCCTTAGATCTCAATCTCCTAAGTAGCTAAGATTACATAGGGGTTGCAAGCTTTTAATTAGAAACCAGATAAGCAACTAGTGTAACCTGATATTTAAAAAATGTTGCACTCATTTACTTTGTGTTACCAGTAGATACAAATGAGTGACCAGAACATGGGCATTTACATTTGTAGAAGAAGTAATCCCACCTAGAGCTTTTAGTTTGAGCTTTCATTAGAATGTGCTAATAGGAAAGCAGTGTAAGATGGCCTCTGCCTGGGGAGCACATAACTGAAAGTTTTAAAGGAAGAGTAGATGGAAATGACACTTAACATTAGGTTTTTTTTTTTAAAAAAAGGTTTTATTGTGTAAACGTCCCAGATAGTCAGTAGACCAAGATTACAAGAGGAGATTTCACCCAGCAAGACCAGGACCAAGGTTTAACAACCTTTATGTTGTTTTGGTTTTGTAAGTGAAGAAATCTGGGAAGAACCCTTGGACCTAAAATCTTGCTGGTATTAAGGTAACATTTTCAAACTTTTAGCCTCTTCAGATTTCCTTAACCGCTCATAATTGGGGGGGGGTATAATTACAACTGACTAAGGAGGAAGTCATCTGTGACTGCTAAACTCACTGAGGATTGATCATATTGTGGCTGAAGAAAATCCACCAAAGCTGTGTATTCTAGCCATTATGAGTTCTCACATTCTTCAGCTTCTAATTTTTGTCTTTCTAGATTATTTGCTGTACAAATCCTGTAAGTTATCTTGCAAGGAGATACAAAGAATCTTTAATAGAGCTAACGACACTTTGTATCTTTGAAACTGTGTAGGGACAGATCAGGTCCTTCAAAAAAATCTCTGCCCTTTAAAGAATAAAAGGGAGGAATGTGTTTAAGGTAAACAGAGTTAAGTTTATTTAAAGGTGAAGAGAGAGACACTGAAGAAAGTAGGAAGAATTAGCAGACTGCTGGAATAGGGAGGGAATATCCCTGTTACCCAGTGAGGGAAAGCCCAAAGCTTCTTTTTTTCCTGCTAGATAGTTTGCTCTTAGTCCCCTACCTCTTGGGGGATGATGTATTTTTGGTTTGATTTGTTAAGCAGTGGTCACACTATCCAAAGACTTTCCAACTGGATGTAAGTTTTTGTCTGGTAGGCTTTCCCATCCTGGGCAAAAGTGGGAGAGTTTGCCTTCTACCCTTGCCCTGGAAACTTGGAACCTGAAAGATTATTTGAGCAGGAACAAGAAAGATTATTTATGTCCTCTGTTTCCTGTCATATGGGCCTGAATCCGGTTACCTTCTATATTGAACTGCCTAACTGGGACCAAATACCCATTTCTTACCTTTAAAAGCACTGGATAGTTCTCAATCTACAGAGATTAAGAACTAGTGTAGACATAAAAGTGTGCATTTGTGCTGCCACCTCTTCCTTTCCTAGTCACCCAGTCTCACCACAGAGTGGGGAGTAGTGCCTCCACTGTTGCCTGCTTTTATTTAGGGTGGATATGGATCCTGTAGAGTTGAAGTAGTTTGCAGGTCTGTGGCCTAATTATGATTGCTCTAAGGAGAAAGGGGTGCTAAAGACTAAGAGTCACCTAAGGCGCAGAGCACAAAGGCTCATCAGTGTCTTCTCTGTAGTTTATAGAGAAGGAGCCAAGCCATTTAGTAGGAGAAAAAGCACAAATATATGTCTAAGCAACTTTTTAGACTCAGTAGAAAATGTGTTTTCACTAATAAGGTGAAAGGAATCCACATTTGCCATTTGCATTTTAATAACATTTTTAATGGCAATTTAGGAACTCACAATTTTAATTAATTAATTATTTTATTATTTTTTTTTTTGCCAATCATGGGGCTTGAAGTCAGGCCCTGGGCACTGTCCCTGAGCCTCTTTGTGTTGAAGGCTAGCACTCTTCCACTTGAGCCACAGCTCTACTTCTGGCTTTTTCTGAGTAGTTTATTGGAGGTAAGAGTCTCACTGACTTCCTGCCCAGGCTGGCTTCAAATTGTGATCCTCAGATCTCAGACTCCTGTGTAGCTAGGATTACAGACAGGTATGAGCCACCAGCAGCCAACAAGATTTTAACTTTAATGTATAAATTAATCTTGCTATTAATCCAATGACAATTGTATTATTTCAAAATAATGTAATTGAAAGCCTCAAGTAAAATTTCTAAATAATGTCATGTCTCAATGAGTTAAAGACCTCTTGCTCACTCTGTAATTAAAAAACAAACAAACATGGGAATTTATGTCTTAAACTTTTTTTGTTTTTCTGTGCCAGTCCTAGGGCTTGAACTCAAAGCCTAGGCGCTCTCTGAGCTTCTTATGCTCAAGGCTTGTGATCTATCACTTGAGTCACAACCCTACCTTTGGCTTTTTTTCCTTTTGAGTAGTTTATTGTAGGTAAAAACCTTATGGACTTTGCTGCTCTGCTGGCTTCAAACCATTGTCTTCATATCTCAGCCTCTAGAGTAGGTGGGATTTATATGTGTGAGCCACCAGTGCCTGACAGTCTTAAATATTTTTAAACACTCAAAGATATCTTAAAAAGTTATCCTGTTACAGAATTAAATATTAGTTTCTGTAGTGTTTAAGTAGAATGGAGTAAGGACTGATACTGGGGAGACAGGTGGTAACAGGGATAAAGTAGGTGTCACAAGAAAGAACAAATACAGTAGTGATACTCACTAGACACTATATTGAAAATGAATTATACCACTTGTGGATAGGAATGGGAGGAAAATCTGGGCAAGAACTAGGGAAGGGATGGCATTGTCCAAAAAGAAATGTACTCATTGTCTGATTTATGTAACTATAACTGCTATAATAACAATAATATATTATTATACTATATGTATATGTGTATATATATATATATATATATATATATATATATATATATATATATATTAGCTGTCACATTTCTCACCTTTTTGGGGGTCCAGTCCTAGGGCTTGGGCACTGTCCATGAGCTTCTTTTGCTCAAGGCAAGCACTCTACTACTTGAGCCACAGCCCCACTTTGGGCTTTTTCTGTTTATGTGGTACAGAAGAATTAAACCCAGGGCTTCACGCATGCTAGGCAAGCACTCTACTACTAAGCCACATTCCCAGGCCCACATTTCTCACTTTTGTCTTTCAGGTGGATCCCCAGTGACTTGGTGGGTTGGAACCAATGAGACACATACACTCAATGCTCAAAACTGCACTTGTGGATTAGAGGGCAACTGCATTGACCCCCAGTATCACTGCAATTGTGATGCCGATCAGAATGAATGGTGATTTCCACATGACATTCCTGTACAAACTGTAATTTTCTTAACACTTTGCAGTTAGGTATTTTAACAGCTCCAACATTACGCTCTCTCATGTTTCAAGATTGATTTTTCTGTTTCTGTGAACAATTACACCGAAATATTTTGTGGGCACTGCATTGAATCTCTACATTGCTTATTCAGTAGATTTAGTAATTTTTTTGTTATATTAATTCTGCAATCTGGGAGCATGGGATATCTTTCTATCTTATGGTATCCTCAAGATTTAAGTTTTTGTTGTAGAGGTCTTTTACTTTCTCTGGAATTTATTTTTTATCTTTATTTTTGGAATTTAATGTTTAGGCTTTTCTTTCCCAGTCTGTTAGTGTATTAAAAAATACTACTGATTTTTAAATTAACTAACTAATTAATTTTTGACAGTCCTGGTTCTTGGACTAAGGGCCTGAGAACTGCTCAAGGCTAGCACTCTGAACCTTGGGCTTTATGCATGCTAGGCAAGCACTTGCAGCACTAAGCCAAATTCCCAGTCCCCACTCCACCCTCCCCCCATTACTGATTTTTGAATACTGATTTTTATATGCTTCTGCATTGCCATAGAAATTTGTCAGATCTCAGACATTTCTGATGGAATCTTTAATGTCCTTAAGTATAGAATTGTGTCATTTGCAATAGGACAATTTCACTTATTAATTCTTAGGTGAATCCCTTTTATTTTTTCTCTTTCTGCCCTAATCTTTATTGTTCCTTTTCTGTCTGCTAGTTTTGGATTTGGCTAGTTCTGTTTTTTTCTAGGGGTTTGAAGTGTATCACTAGGCTATTTATTTGAGATACTGCTTTTTTTACAATTAAATTTTTATGTAGGCATTCATAGCTCTAAATTTTCCTCTTAGCACTACCTTTGCTGTGTGACAATGGTTCTAGTAGGTTTTGTTCTCATTTTCACTAGATACTATATAACTTTTGAATTTTACCTTTTTTCTTCAATGAACCACTCATAATTCAACAAAGTATTGTTCAGTCTTTGAATATATTTTATGGTTTTATTTGATGTTAAGTTCCAGTTTTATTCCATTGTGTTCTGATAAAATACAGAGTTATTTTAATTTTCTTACATTTTGTACAACTTGTTTTGTGTCATAAAATGTGATCTAATTTTGAGAAAATTCCATGGACTGGTGAGAAGATGTGTGTTGTGTAGCTACTGGTAAAATGCTCTGTCCATATCTGTCAAGTGCATTTGGCTTATGTCACTTAATTCTGAAGTTTCTTTTTTGATTTTTGTTGGGAAGGTCTGGGTGACCTATCTTTCAGTGAGAGTGATGTATCAACTACTCCTACTATTTAAGTCTAATAGTGTTAGTTTAACATATTTGGTTGTGCTGACATTTGAAACATATATTAGCAATCATTATTTCCTTTTGATTAGTAACATTTTTAGTATTTGGTAATATGAAATTATCTTATTTGTCTCTTCTGAGTAATAAGTGTGAAGTCTAGGTTTTCAGACATGAGTATAGCTACTCTGGCCTGCTTTTGTAGTCCAATTACTTGTCTACCCTTTCCCCTAAAATATTGCATGATTTTTATCTTTAAGATACAATTTTTGTGGACAAGAAATGGTCAGGTCTTGCTTTCTATGCCAATTTTCCATTCTGTGTCTTTTCATTAGGGAGCCGAGACCATTGCCATTGAGTGCCAATATTGAAAGCTAGTAATTCCTGCTTTTTGTTTTGGTGTTAGATTCTTTGCTACACTTTATTCCCTTAACTGCTTATATGGTGAGATTTGTCTCTCCTATTTTTATGTTTACATGAAACATTTCATGTGTCCTCTTCTTTGTGTAGGATTCCTTCGAGTATCTTTTGCAATGTGGATTTGGTGGTCATAAATATTTGCTTTATTATGGAAGGCTTTTACTTATCCTTCAGATATGAATGAGAACCTCATTGGGAAGAATAGTCTTAGTTGAATGTGGTTAACCTTTAATGTTTGAAATACATTATTTCAATCCCTCCTTTGCTTTAAGGTTTCTTTTGGGAATTTGCTACTATTCTGATGAATTGTTCATTGCTAGTGTCTTGGGATGGGTCTCTAATAGCTTTCAGTATTATTTCCTTTTTCTCTGTTAGTGTGATATGAAGTTTGTGGACAGGTTCTATTCTGGCTGTACCTTGGTGAGTTTCTCTTCATCAAGATTTGGTAAGTTTTCTGCCTTTTTTTTTTAGTGAATGTTTCCTCTCTGTGAATTAACCTCTCCTCTTCTATGTCCAAGCACATAGATTTATGCTTTTTATAGAGGCCTGGGTTTCTGCATATTCCTTATATGTCTTTATTCTTTTTTCTTTTTCTTTTTTTTTTTTGATTGACTACCTTACCTTCAAGCCTGGTACCTTGCTTTCCATTTGATTTACTCTAGTTAAGAAGTTTTGTTGTTACAGTTATGGTAGTTCTAGGGTTAAATTCAGGGTCTGGATACTGTCCTGGACTTTTTTTCCTCAAGGCCAACTCTCTACCATTTGAGCCACAGATCCACTCTGACTTATTTTTTCTGGAGTTTATTGAAGATAAGAGTCTCACAGACTTTCATGCCCAGGCTGACCTTGAACTGTGCTCCTCAGATCTCAGCCTCTTGAGTAACTAGGATTACAGATGTGAGCCACCAGCTCTTGATCAGTTGTATATTTTATTTCTCCTGTAGAATTTTTCATCCCTTGGGATGAAAATTCTTTGATGTTTTAATATAATCATTGAATTCCCTTTTCATATCTTGCATGGACTTCCTCATTTCATTTTTCTGTTTATTTGTATATTTTTAGTTTTTCTCTTTATTTGTATTGTTTGAATTCATTTATCTATTTGTTTTCCATTACTTTGAGTTTATTTAGTTTCGTATAGATATCTTTTCTTAATGCATTTAGTTGTTTGCCTGTGTTCTCTTTAATGTTTTAGGTGTTTATACATGTCCTCTTTCATCTCACTGATCATTCTTTCCATCATTCTAAGTTTAATATTTGAAATTTCATTCACTTAACTGCCATTCTAATTCTTTTTTGGGTAGTTGTTTACTATACTAGAATTATAGGCATGAGCCACCCAGCAGCTGGTGGCTGTTGATTTTATGGAGTGTCATGTTGCTTTCTTTTTCATTTTCTTTGTTTTTGTGCTGTGATTTCCATCTGGAGTCAGTCTATTGATAGGTGATTTTAGTAAGATGATATTTTTCCATTGAAAAACCTTCTTTGTTCTGGGAGGGCTCTGTTGTGGTAGGATTAAAGTAGCTTTTCTCACTTGATATGGATGGAGTTAAACAAACTAGATATTTGCATAAAGTAAAACAACATTGGCGATATTGTCTATACTATCAGTCATGATTTTTATAAAAGAAACGAATGTTCTTATATTGTAGGATATAGTATAGTATAGTTTTCCTACTAGTTTGCAGGCATATAGCTCCATTATTGTGGGGGAAGGATACTGTAGTTGGGGATCAGTGATATAGAAGAATGACTACTAATAAAACAGAGGCTAAAAAAGCAATCAATAGAAAAATTTGTAAAAAAAACTAGTGAAAGGGAAATTTTTTAAGTCCAGAAAAATTAATGAAAGGCAATATTTCTTCTTAGTTGAGTTAAAATTGAGTAAAGAAAATAAAGGGAGGATGAAGATGAAAACATACGGAAGAAAGAAGATGAAGAAAGGGCTGTAAATTGTGTTGATTAGAAGTAAATGAAATAATAGCATGTGGGGATATAGTTAAATTATTGTAGGGAAGCATGTCATAGTCACAGCTTGCGATGGGATAGGTGAATTATGAATCTTAAACACAAAGTGTCAACCATCATAGAAAAATTTGTAGAATGGGGGTGAAAATTAATATAAAATATTGTAATAGGCAAAAGGAGAAATAGTGATAAGTGTAAAAGTCAATTTTCCTTCCTCTTTGAGCAGAAAATTGTATGCTTTATAAGGTGTGACCCAGGCCATGCAAGCCCTGTGCAGATGGCTCCCTACCTCTCAGCTGTTTCTACCCAGCATCTGTGTTACATAGGTAACTGGCACACCCAGAAGCAGTCACCTCCCCCTCCTGGTAGGACACATACTGGCCTGCCCCTGGCCTTCCATCTGACCCTAGGCTGGTCCCAGGCCCTGAGGTCACTTCCAGATCCAGTGTGGCCACACCTTTCCTTCACCTAGCCATACCTCTTCCTGTCCCTGGCTTAGGTAAGTCCTGGCTGCGGGGATGGGGGGAGGCAGTGTCACTCCTTTGGGCCATGCACTGTGGGGGAAGCAGTTTGGTAAATAAACTTCTTTTCCTGCCTGTATACTATGTGGTGTTCTCTTTGTTGGCTACCTAATGAAACCTACCTATTTAATATATCTTCCATACTTTCTGAGCTTTGTCAGTCCAGTAGATGTCTCCCATCTCTGGGCTTCTGGTTTGCGTCTGAAGTTCAGTGGTGTTTATTCACATCACTACTCTGGGACCTAGACTGCCTGAGGGCAGCCTGAGTGCCATCTTCTGTGGCTGATTACGTCCTGGACCCTGGATAGCTGCTGAGATAGGGTGGAGCAGGCCCCTTTCCACTGTGTTGTACAGTGTTCTTTGGGGGTCCAGTGGTGACAGGGATGTACACCAGTCACAGGGATGTGTTTGGGGTTTCTTCTCTCCTGTACAGCATTAGAGACACAAGTAATGCTCCTCACCCACTCAGTCCTAGGCCTATTCCAGGTGTGTGAGCCTTTGGTCACTCATTTTGCCAAGAGTCCTTCATGGAGAATTGTGTTTGCTTGTACCTAGTAGGCTGGGTGGTGTTCTTTGGGTTCTGGCCATCACAGGGATGTGTGTGATTCACAGGGAAGTGTAAGAAGCTCCCTCTTGCTCCGTATTACACTTGAGTCCACAGCCTTGAAGGAATGGTTTTTCCCAATTCCAAACAATCACATGTGTGCAAGCCTTCGGTCAGCTGTCTTTACTAAAAATCTTCTCAGGAGCGGTTGTGTTACCCTGTACTCGCTTGCTTGGCAGTGGCTTTTGGGGTCAGGCAATCACGCACATTTGTCAGCCACAGGGATATCTGCCTATTTCCCTCTTTACTCTAACTTGCCATGAGTGATTTTTTTCCCCCACGATTCTGGGCTAGTCTCAGTGTACAGGCCTTTGGTCAGCTTGCTCTGCTGGGAATCGATTTTAGGCAGCTGTATTGTTCACTTGTACTCACTGAGTTGAACAGTGTTCTTGGGAATCTGGCAGGAGTAGAGTATCTTGTTGTCTCTTTGTTATCTAAGATTCAATATTTAACTTTCTTTTCCCCAGTCACTTACTGTCTTTCACGTTTTTCCTGGTATCCTCACCTGGTTTACTAACTTTCCTGTTTCTTTGTAGACACTTGCCTGCATGTTTATTCCTGTTTTGTGGAGACACAGAAAGGTGATGCACATATTTTCCTTAAAAATACACTTTTACAAGGTTGTCATCCACTGTTCAACAAAGCAGAACTCAAAAATCTTTACAAGAGTTTGTATCATATGGATGTTTTTGTGACTGCAATGCAGCAATATAATTTTCAATGAAGAGAATTTCAGGGAATGTAATAATTGTTAGAAAACGATTGAAAATAAACTTTGAATAATTGGTGGCTTTCTATGAAGAACATGTTACTATGAGAAATATTCTAAAACCCATTGCCATGCCAGACTTTAATAAAAAAATTGTGGAATGTGTTTATGGGAATTTAAGAAGACCTAGGCATAAATCTCCTGTCTTGCAAAGACAACTAAGATACCTCAGAGGCTTTCTTTGACTTCATGTAATTTCACACAAATGCCAACCATTTGATTGTAGGTTTTGTTGTTGTTGTTGTTTTGTTTTATTTTTGTGCCAATGCTAAGGCTTCTGCTCAGGACCTGAGCACAATCCCCTGAGCTTTTTCATAGAAGGCTAGAACTCTACCACTTGAACTTCAGGTCCCCTTCAGGCTTTTTGGTGATTAATTGGAAAAAAAAAGTCTCATGGACTTTCCTGCCTGGGCTATCTTTAAACTGAGATCCTCAGATCTCAGCAGCCTAACTAGTCAGGATTACAGGTGTGAGCCACTGGTACCCAGCTGTTTGTGTTTTTCTTATTAAATTGGTGTCAAAATTCACATGGTAAAACAATGGGGACTAAGTGGCAAAGACAGTTCTAAAGGTGGCAGTGAGGCCACCTTTAGGAGGGAGAGGAGACATTGGATATCAAAATGTGTTTTGCCATAGTAATAAATGCTTTATGGCGTTAACCAGGGATGAGCAAACAGAACAATGAAATTCAACCAAGAACTTTGGCTGTCAAAACACTTAGTTCATGTTTTCAGCCACTCTGTCACAAGAAAATTTATAAATTGTAAACTTGATACAGCATGTTTTCCTTTGTAGCTTTCACGACAGTCCAAAGTGGGGAAAATCCTCTTTTATCACAGAGAAGTTCACTGAAAAACAATGAATTATAGATTGATTTTAGAGCACTGAAGACTCTTAAAAGGAGATTTGGAAAGTTGGTTGCTGAATATTTGAATGAGTCTGGTCACCATGGCAATTAATAGTCTCCCTAAAATAGGGTCACATTTAGCAAACCCCTTACATTTAGCAAAGGTGGTACAAACAGTACAACCCTGAAAGCTATTGCCATACATGTTTTAGCACATAGTGCATTCATTATGATTTTGCTTATTTAATCTCAGGGTTCTGAATCCATAATTAATGCTGAAGGCAGAATGAGAGTGTCATTTTTCTTACCTAACAAGGTATAGCTCTTAAATAATTCCTTAGAATTCAAGGATCCCTAATGACAATGAATACACTTTTATTCTTCCTCTAAAATCTTTTTTTTTCAGTCAAAATCACAATCACAAGAAAAGATAGGTAATATTTACAAATAGTTTGCTACTTAACACTAGAAATTAATTTGCTATGTAATAACTGTATGCAAATCCAGAGTAACCTTTTCTATCATCTAATGGGCAGGTTGCTGCCCACTTATTCCAAAGTCTGATATTCATGTATTTATGATAATCTGCTTTTGCTCTTCTGATAGCAGCAATCTCAGAGATTTACCAAAGCTACATCATTTTATTCAACCTTATATGTTAAACTAATGCATTTAAGAAACCCACAGTCATCTCATCCTTTTCATAGTTTACCACATATTCTACCAGTTACTTTATTGAAATTTTTGAACAGGATAAAGATCTTAGGAATTTTAATTTTTATGACACTTAAAGAGAATTGAATGACTACTTTTTTTTGTTGGTCGTGGGGCTTGAGCTTTGGGCCTGGGTGCTGTCCCTGTGCTCTTCAGCTCAAGGCGAGTGCTCTACCGCTTGAGCCACAGCGCCACTTCCAGTTTTCGAGTGGTTTATTGGAGATAAGAGTCTCACGGACTTTCCTGCCTGGGCTAGTTTTGAATCACGATCCTCAGATCTCAGCTTCCTGAGTAGCTAGGATTATAGGTGTGAGCCACCGGCGCCTGGCTTTAACTACTTATTTTGATTTGTCATTTTAAAGTTTCAGGTTGAACCATATTAAATTGTTAATTCTTTTCTTTTTCCTTGTGAAAGCTACATTTTTCTTCCTTTCTATTTATTGGTGGTACTGTTTTTTGAGCTTAGGATCTCCTACTTGCTAGGCAGGTAGTCTACCACTTAAAATTGCATTCTAAGTCCTTTTAGTTTTAACTGTTTTTTTTTCAGATGTGGGCTTGGGTTTTTTGGCCAGGCCAGCCTTAGACTGTGATCCTCTTATCTTTGTCTCCCAACTAGTGAGGGTGACAGGCTCACACCACCAGGCTTGGCAATGAAAGCTCCATTTTCATATGCTTCAGCCTGTATATACTAGATTAAGTGGTGACTTTGCAGTTGTTAGAAATTTAGACTTAATAGTTTTGCTGGGCACTGGTGGCTCATGCCTGTAATCCCAGATACTCAGGAGGGTGAAGTATGATGGTTGCAGTTTGAGGTCAGCTTGGGCAGGAAAGTCTGTGAGATTCTTATCTCCAATTACCCACAAAAAGTGGAGTTTTGGCTCAAGTAGAGTTCTATTCTTGAGGGGGAAAAAAGCTCAGAATAGCATCTAGTCCTTAATTAAAGCCCCAGGATCCCAGGATCCCCACTTTTCCCTGCAATGCAGGTGGTAATAGTCATTGAAAAATAAGCCCAATGCACTACCCACCTGTTAATTTTAAGTTCATTATACCATGTCTTCCCCTTGTTTTTGAATCTGTGCTTTGTTATTTGTTTTAAAATTTATGATCTCAACATGTAAGTGAATGCCTAGTAACCACAACAGAAATTTCCAAAACCTTTGTACAGAATCATTTCTATTCTCCCTATCCCTTAGACATCAATTTCAAGATCTTCAGCAGAGAATAACAATCTCTGCTGGTAGTATTTTTCCAATGCACACAGATCATGACCAAGTCAATAAATTAAACACAGGAAAAGATGGATAATAACTCAGTACAAAATAAAACAAATTATTCTGTAATCAAATTTATATGACTATGGCCCTTGTCTAATAATATATTTAGACAAGGATTACCATGAGGCACAAAAATGCAGGAAGTGAAAACAAGAATAAGGGGATGACTATGAGAAAATTTTGAGAATTGAAAACCCTAAATCTTGTCAGTCGTGTTTCTTTCTGTTTTGTTTTGAGGTGAATTTCTCCTTCATGTACAAAGCATGGAGGCTTGCATATGTGCAAGTAAGACTTGAATGTGTCAGTGTTTCATGAAAATTACAAGTATAAACTACTTAAATGCGTTGAAAATGTAATCTCACACCTGCACTTGCGAGCATGTTTCTGGAGCTGTTCACTTCCTTCTTAGTGGTCAGGTGCACAAGCAGTGACTTTGGGTCCTCAGATGAGCTCATATAGTCAGTGACTATGTGTGCAATTCACAAATTTAGATGACCTCTTCTTGAATATTGATAAAAGGCTCTTTATCATCTTTTATTCAGAATAACATCAAGGTAGCTATATTTGTTTCCTAGGACCAGTGACACAGTAGTTCTTTCCCATAAGGAACACCTACCGGTCACTCAGATTGTGATGACAGACACAGACAGACCACACTATGAAGCAGCTTATTCCTTGGGGCCTCTGCTCTGCCAAGGGGACAGTAAGTATGGCAAGAAGAACACCCTTGATGCCAATGAATGTGTGTCAGTGTTTCATGAGAAATTTAATTGCACAGGTTCGTAAAATTGCCATCTGAGGAATTCATATTTCATTAGGTATATGTTAACTTAGAAAAGAAGAAATGTATTTAATTACAACTGAGAAAAAAGTGAGCTAATTCATATTACCTCTGGGTGAAGGCTCATTTCTTTGTTTTGTTTTGTTTTGTTTTGTTTTTGGGTCCGGTCATGGAGCCTGAACTCTGGGCCTGGGCACTGTCCCTCAGCTCTTCAGCTCAAGGCTAGTGCTCTACCACTTGAGCCACAGCGCCACTTTCGACTTTTTTCTTTTTGCTTATGTGGTGCTAAGGAATCGAACCCAGGGCCTCATGCATGCAGGGCAAGCACTCTACCACTGAGCCACCTTCCTAGCCCTGTGAAGGCTCATTTCTATAGTAGTTAACTATATCAACAGGTATATATCTAGAGGCTTGATCTGAAATATCATTTGGCTTGCATAGGTAAGTAACCCTTATCTTTAGTGATTTGAAGAAGGAATGTTTTGAACTTCAGATAGTTTTCAGACTTCAGAATATTTGTACATTCATTATGAAAAATCACCGATATGGGAATCAAGCATTAAGTTCATTTACATAAATATATTTTATATACTCATTTCCATAAATATATTTATAAATTCCTATAGATTTATATGAATTTATACAAAATATAAAAGACCTTATATGTATTACAAATCATTTATAGTTCGCATATTCTGTATACATATGCCTGAAGATAGTCTAATACAATGGATTTAATGTGTTTGCATTTTGACCACAACCTTCCAAATGAGGCCAGGTATGGAATTTTCTACTTATGGTATCCTTTCAAGACGCAGAAAGTTTACAAATTTTGGATCTCTTCAGATTTCAGATTTGAATAAGGAATATTCAATTTGTATAGATCTAATATGTACTAATTACAAAGCATGTTGCTGTGTGTTAAGATGCCCCAATCAGAGGACATTGAGAGAGCATAACCCATTAGGTATTTCTATTATTAGATGCTTTCTAGACATTCTGAGTGTTTACACAGGAAATTTTAATGATTCTACTCCTTTATGTAAAATAAAATAAAAACATTCCTCCTTCTGTTGCCTGTAAAAAAAACTCTAGCTTCTCTCTTCTGGCCACGAATGTGATTTTGTGATGCTGCTAAATCCAAAGGTTAGTTCTCAGTTTTTCTCCTTGTTGATTATTTAGGAACCCTGGACTCCTCCCAAGATTTGCTTCTGTCCTCTGCAGCTGTTATGTCACAAATCCCATTCCATCTCTTCCCATCATCTTCTTGCTAGCAGGATGGTATGGGCACCTGGGCACTCTCCTTATCAGTGCTACGGCTTCAAATACCACCTGAAGGCCAATGACCCCACATTTATACTTCCAGATCAATGAGGAAGCTCATTGCCCAATGGATAAGAAACTTCTACTTATATTTTGTTAGGCATTTCAAACTCAAATGATAAAAACATGAAAGAAATACACAAAAGCAACCTTCTCCAATTCAGTACATGGCAACTCTGTCCTTCCTTCCTCCTTGCCATCTCACAATTCATATTTAATTCATCAGCAAATGCTGTGGCTTCAACTCCAAAAGCAGACCTGGCTCTGGAGATTTGGCTCAAGTGGTGGAACACTTGTTAACAAGTGTGAAAACATGAGTGCTACCAAAGAAACAGAAAACAAAACCAAAATAGACCTAGAATCTGGCTGTGTCTCACAGCTTCATTACCATCTTGTCTGACTTGTTGTGCTGAACTAGAACTAGACTGTGGGCCAATGCTGTTGCCCACTCTACTCAGCATACTTGGCAATAGAAGTTCTACTATGTCAGTCCACTGACCCTATCCCTACACTGGCACGGACTTCAGAGAAGAGCAATCAAAGTGTAATGTTCACCAAAACCTTGGTGGCCATGCTGACCTCTGAGTCAGGTTGTTCCTAGTGGGGACTATGAAACCACAGTCCTCCTGGGGGTGTTAAACCAGATGTCACTTCAGTAGGAAATGCTGGCACTTTTAGCCATAGTATGTGGTTAGTCAAAATACAGCAGAACAGCTGATCTTACCTTGACTGATTAGCACATGGACATACACACTCTCCTTCTGATATAACAATGAGGACCACAGTTCTGCTTCTGAATAAATGAACAGAACACATGTACCTATCTCTCTCCCACTGACAGCCCCAGTGAGACCTGGTCAGGAGGCAGGGGGGTATTGGTACAGGACCAAAGCACAAATCTCACAGGCTTTTAGCTGAAATATACATAGCCATATCTATAGAAAGAGATAAAGGGGAGTATATGTTACTGGGATTTTTACATACCACCAGAAATACTTAAAAGACAGATTCTAGGGCTGGAAAGGTGGTTCAGTGGTAGAGTGCTTGCCTTACATGAGGCCCTAGGTTTGATTTCTCGGCACCAAATAAGCAGAATGAGCTGGAAGTGGTGCTGTGGCTCAAGTGGTAGAGCGCCAGCCTTGACCTCAAGAGCTCAGGGACAGCACCCAGGTCCAGAATACAGGTCCCACAACCAACAACAACAACAAAAAGACAGATTCTAAGCATAGACTGTAAAGGTGATTAAATATGTTGTGATGATGGAAAGTCAACAGATAAATAACCATAAACTAAAAGAGAATACCAGAAATATTTAATCTAGATGTAGGCATAATGGTAGCACAGAAAAATAAAATCTGCATGGATCAAACAGGGATTTTTGGTAAATCACCAAGGTGTTATTTATAAGCAACTCACATTAAATAGACATAGAAAAATTTATTGAAAATGGCAAAAATAGAATAACTCAAATACAACTGGAAGAATTATAAGTCTGTATTAAAATCTTTATTTCAGAGCAAAGGGAGCTAAAATATGTATATATATGCATATATATATAGAGATAGATAGATATAGACAGAGAACACTACATAATGACAATGTATCCATACACCAAGAAGAGAAAATAATCTTGTTTGTATGGTTATAACAATGTCAGAATAAATATGTGTATAATATTGGCAGAAAAAAGAATGGAGTAACAGACTTGTATGTATAAAGATAAAATTCAATACTTTTTTCTCTCTAACATAGACAATCAGCAAAGGTTTTGAAAATTACATGCCAAATGCCTTATCTATATAAAATTGATTTAAATATCATAATTTGAATGATTATGATAACCAATTCAGTGTAAAATTTGTAATAAAATTCTTAGCAAACTAGGAATAGAATGAAAAATTTTCATCCAATGAAAAGATTCTATTAAAAAATGTAGTTTTGCTGGCACTAGTGGCTTATGCCTATAATCCTAGCTACTCCTGTGGCTGAGTTTTGAGGATTGCTGTTGAAGCCACCCTGGGCAGAAAAGTCCATGAGAATCTTTTCTCCAATTAATTGCAAAGATCAGAAATTGAGCTATGGTTCAAGTGGTAGAGCACTAGCCTTGAGCAAAAAAGCTCAGGGACAGTGCCCAGGCCCTGAGTTCATGCCCCAGGACTTGCACACACACACACACACACACACACACACACACTCAGACACACACACAAATTTTATTTCCAATGAAATGAATATGGATTGGAAAATGAGAAACCTTTGTTCACAAGTGTATATATGTCTGCCTATACAGAAGGAGTCCAAATGCACGCGCACGCGCGCACACACACACACACACACACACACACGTGTGTGTACATGCATACATATATTTAAACTACTGAGTTGTAACATAACTGGTGTAATATCTGTAAGTATAAAATCTATAAAACGCTGAAGGAAAGAATCAAGAAAACATAAATGACATAAATGACACACTGTATTCATGGATAGAAATCGCATTGGAAAAATGGCAGTTCTTTCCAACTGAGAAAACAATCAAAGAGAAATAAGAATGGCCCAGAAGTACATAAACAGATATTCTATGACATTAATTGTGACATGAGGCAAATTAAAACTGCTATGTGATACCACTACAAAGCAAGAAGGAAGGAAGGAAGGAAGGAAAGGAGGGAGAGGGGGAGGGAGAGAGGGAGGAAAGAAGGAAGGGAGGAAAAGGAGTGAGAAGGAAATAAAGCACACAAGAGGAAAAGTAAGTGGTGAAGGAAGTATAAAACAAGTGAGTCTCTTGTATATCATGGATAGAAGTGAAAAATCCTCCAGTCACTCTAGAAAACTGATCGACAGTTTTGTGTAGTTAAACATAGCTACTATAGGATTCAGAAATTGTGCTCTAGGGTATCTGCTGTTTAGCAAATGAAAATTTATGTTCATGTAAAAACCTATATGGAAATGGTTATGATAGCTCTGTGTAGAGTTATTGGAGCCAGGAACAAGGCCGTAAGATTTCTAGTGTGGACAGGGTAGTGTGTCAGATGACAAGGTTAGTAGTGAGAAGTGGATACATGTATGCAAACCTCAAAAGGTGCATGACACCACTTACCTTATGTTTAGAGAAAGGCAACTATAGCAATGGGAGAATTGCTGGGACTAGAGGATGAATTAGGGAGATAGCAAGAAGGAGAGTCTGGGGTGATGGAGCTTCTCTTTCTCCCAATTTTGTAATGTTTACACAAACCATTGCATATGTCAAGATTCATAACTTCTGAAGTCATTTTTACTCTATAACTTAAAAATTAAACTACTTTTTGAAAATACATATCATTTCCATAGTGACTAATCCTCTACTTAGCTGCACACATATCTAAAATCTTAATCATCAAAGGAGTCATCATTTGAACATTCATGTCATGGCTACATGTTCAGAAGAACCTCATAAAGAAGGCTTGCATAGACAAGTAATTCATTAAGAGTGAAAACAAATACTAGAAATATGAAGTCTAGTTGCTCTTTGTTTTATTTTTTCTCATTTCTCTCTTTTTTTTGTTTGGTTGTAAACAGATTCATTTTGGAATTCAGCCTCCTTCAATACTGAGATTTCATATCTTCATTTTCCTACCTTCCATGGGGAGCTCAGTGCTGATCTGTCCTTCTTTTTTAAGACAACAGCTTCCTCAGGGGTGTTTGTAGAGAATCTGGGGATCACAGACTTCATCAGGCTGGAGCTGCATGGTGAGTTGTCCATGCTGGGGAAAGTTGTGGGGTATTCAGTCATAAGCAATAAACTCTTTAGTAGTCTTATTTATAATTTTACTGTGTACTTCCGTATCAGTCTTACCTTCATTAATACAAGAATTGTGTGATTTTTGTCACCTTCAATAGTATGTTAGTTAACTTTACATCATGAAAACAAAATACCTGAGGCAATTGACTTCTAAGAAGTTTATTTTGGTTTATGGCTCTGCAGTTTCCACTGCAAGATATAGGAAACCCCCTATATTTTGACACCTGGGGAGTGGCCCATGGTGGTGGCTGTGTGTGTTCACCAGTCAGAAAACAGAGAAAAAAAGTCTCCTTCATGAGCATCCTCCCAGTGACTTAAAGATCTTACCATCTACTATATCCCCCAAAGGTTCCACTACCACCCAGTAGCTCCACTCTGGGGACCAAGCCTTTATAACATAGTCCTTAGAGGAACACTTATCTGACCACAGCAAATAGAGAGTGAGACAAGTTCATGACAGGCCAGTCTATGCCAGTTAAGTGCTACCTCAATTCTATACGCAGAGAGGGAAATAAGACAGACTAATAAAACTACTAATTGTTTACTAAATTAGAAAATTATTTGGTTGAATATACAAGTTGCATATATGATGTGAAATTTAATTCCTGACTGTCAAAATTTCATGTTTCTGAATGATATAGGACTGGGGCTGGGAAGGTGGCTCAGCGGTAAAGTGCTTTCCTCACATGCATGAGGCCCTGGGTTTGATTCTCAACACCACATAAACAGAAAAGGCCAGAAGTGGCACTGTGGCTCAAGTGGTAGAGCACTAGCCTCGAGCTGAAGAGCTCAGGAACTGCACTCAGGCCTAGAGTTCAAGTCCCACCCATGACTGACCAAAAATAATATAAAATTTGAAATATACAATTGAACTTTTAAATAGAATCACGTGTCCATATGAAGCCAGATAACATACTAGTTTTCGTGTGTGTCCAAATATCTCTCAGAGCTTCACGAGGCAAACAGTAAATACTGAAGATGGATGTCGCTAAGTTTAGTTTTAATTCTTCATCTCCAGAGTAGAAATGTATTTGGCCTTCCTAGCCAACTCCCCAGTAGCATTCTCCTATAATGCTCTTCTTCCTAATGAGCAGGCTCTGATGCCACATTCCAGTTCACTCAGCATGAAATGTTCTCCCCTCTAAAGTTAACGGAGCAGCTCTCCATTTCCAGCTCCTGAGGAAGTAGTCTTTTCCTTTGATGTGGGGAATGGACCTTGTGAAGTCACCTTGCAGTCACCCACTCCCCTTAATGACAACCGATGGCACCATGTGAGGGCCGAGAGAAATGTGAAAGAAGCCACACTCCGAGTAGACCAGCTCCCTCAGAAGATGCAGCCTGCCCCAGCAGACGGACCTGTCCGCTTGCAGCTCAGCAGCCAGCTCTTTGTGGGTAAGTGTTTATCACTGTTGGTTTATCACTGAGCTGTACTGAGAGCAGAAAGGGATCTTGAGAAAAAAAATGCAGCTCAGAAGCAATGGCAAGCAATGATGATGGCCACTGTGGCTTTGTCACAGGTTCCAGATGAAGGTTTGTGAAGTTTCCTTCTAGAAGTAGAGTCACTCCACTCAGGGCCCTTGACTTCAATTACAGAATAAAAATTTTTGGATAAGCCACAATGGCAAGAAAACGTTGTGGTGCTTTATTGAGTTAGTCAGCAAGTAGGAAAGCAGAAAGGCAGAGACACACTAGCAGATAGCGTGTGGGTGTGCAAAAGGAGACACACTGTGCATTTTGACATAGGAATATATATCATATATATGACATTAATATATGATATATGTTATATATTAATATATGTCATACATGTATGATAAAGTCAGGGTCTGACTTAAAGTTATGCTAGGCAAGTGTTTATGTTTACTCCTAAGCATTTGGTGTTACACTTTTATTATTTGAGTTCTGGATCCCTATGAGTGACTATCTCTTTAACTTTTGACCAGTATGTTTGGGCATCCCTTCCAAGAAAGAATGCATTCTTCAAAATAGATGTTTATCCTTGAGATTCAGAAACAGTGTATCTAGAAGCAAAGAAGAGAGTGCTTCTAAATGCACTGTTGTTTTCTGAATTCCTTGTTGCCTTTTAAAAATTTTATTTTATTGTAAAGATGCTGTACAGAGGGGTTACAGTTACATGAATAAGGTAATGAACACATTTCTTGTTGAGGATTGTTGCTCCTATCTTTGTTTTTCTCCTACTATCCCTTCCCTTTACCATGCTTCATTTTCCCTAATCTATCTTGCTCCGCACCATTTACAAGAGGCACCATATTTAATATTTATTACTTCTTTCCACAGACATTGTAGTACCCAATTTATTGGTGAAAAACAATGTAATGCAGCCTTAGAAAGATCACTTCCCTTGTCAAAAGAAAGCCAGTGAGGAAAGAAACCCATACCTGCGTTGAGTCTGTTTCCAAATTTGCCCTTAGTGCCCAAGACAACTCACATTAATTTCAGCTACCACTCACCAGGAACTGTTTTATGTTAACAGCCTCTTGTATGCATTTCTCCAATTATGCTCCTCAGTGAAGTTGGTGGATTTGCCTTAAATTGCGGCAGAATCCTCCAGTGCTCCCTCAGAAAGAGGAGAGCCGGTCACATGCAGATGCAGCCTACTATGCTTGGCTCTGTCAGGATGTCCACTGTCCAGCTTCTGGCATCTCTGCTCACATTTGCTGTGTTTACAGCTGGGTTTGGCTTCTTTGCTCTCCCAACTACTCTTTAAAAATCACCATTCTGCTGGGCATCAGTGGCTCATGCCGGTAATTATAGCTACTTAGAAGGTTTAGAGCTGAAGATTGCAGTTCAAAGTCAGTCCTGACAAGAAATCCCATGAAACTCTTACCTTCACTAAACTACTTAAGAAAGTCAGAAGTAGAGCTGTAGCTCAACTGGTAGAGTGCTAACCTTGAGCAAAAAGAAATTCAGGGACAGAGCTCAGGGTCCTGAAGACCAACATACTCTCTCTCTCTCTCTCTCTCTCTCTCTCTCTCTCTCTCTCACACACACACACACACACACACACACATCACCATTCTTGGTAATAGATGTCTTCCTTTTAAATTATTTGTTGTTTTAGTACTGTGTTTGGTCCCCAGATGAAAAAAATGTTTTGTTTTGCTGCCTTACTTTTCACGTTATTTGATTCTAATGTGGTTCTAATTTGGCAACTAGGCAGGTCAATAAAATTAGCTCTCACTAGGTCATTCTGACATATTTAAAGGATGTCCAAGTCAGAAATAAAATATAAATCACAAATTAGCTCATGGTCTGCTTAGCCTAAAGATGCCATAATGCAAAAGAACTCTGGAATGAATTCATGTGTGCATAGGTGAATGGCCCATGGCTTCAAGTGCAGCTAGCTCTTACTCTGATCTAAACTTCAGTTTAGATCATCAAACCTCTGTTCAATTGAAATAGTTTTATTTTCTTATTTATAATCCTGAGAATAAATGAGTGGGGTTTCTAGGAGCAAAGTTGGTATGGAAATCTGCCTTAGTATTAGCATTCCTATTGGGTAAAGTTTCTAAAACCTGAGAGACTAGTTGAAAATTCTGATTTTGGAGTCTGTGCTCCAAATCTTTGAATCCCTGGATGAGCCCAAATCTGTGGTTTTCAACACATTTTCCTAAATACAGCAGTGTCCCCATGGTTGAGAACTGTTGTCTTAGGCTCACATGGGTAGAAATAAAAACACAAAGGTATCAGTGATTTTTAATTTGTTCTTTACAAAGAAAAAGTATAAAAACATTTAAAATATAGCTAGAAATGTTTTGAGTATATTTACTAAGTTCAACTTTAAGAACACATTTTTGTTAATATTTTATTTAATGCTGTTACATTCTGTATGTATGTATGTATGTGTGTGTGTATGTATGTATGTATGTATTGTGATAGCATCTCACTATGTAGCCTTATCTGGCCCCTAACTTGTGTTCCCCTGCCTTTTCCTCCTGAGTACTAGGATTACTGGTGTGTTCCACCATGTCTGGCCCATTTGACAGTTGTCAACATTTTGTCACAACCTATATTGACAAATGTGCACTGTTTCAGAGTACTTTTTGAAAGTATCATAGGTTCTGATATCTACAAGGTCTCAGGTGGACAGGGCAGTGAAATCCTGAGAGCACTTGGGGAACATGAGCCACTAGCAGTGCTTCCCTTGTAGGGGGAACTGCCAGTAGGCAGAGGGGTTTCCTGGGCTGTATCCGGAGCCTGCGGCTGAATGGGGTGGCCCTGGACCTGGAAGAAAGAGCCACAGTGACGCCAGGTGTGGAGCCGGGGTGCGCAGGCCACTGCAGCAGCTATGGCCATCTGTGCCATAATGGGGGAAGATGCCTAGAAAAACACGCAGGGATCCAGTGTGACTGTGCCTCCTCTGCCTTCGAAGGACCCTTCTGCTCGCAAGGTGAGTATAGCTGAGAGCTCCTAAAGGAAGTGTAGATGAAACTGGATTTCAGACCCCAGGCTCAAAGTCCAGGAGTCCCAAGTCAGGTCTGGCTACTCTCCCTATGTACCAAATAAAGAGACATGGGCTTAGGAGTTTCTTGCATGGTGGAATGGGAAGACTGTACTTCAGTACGTCTTCAGCTGTCTTCCATGATACAGACCTCGGATTCAGGTTAAAAGGGAGAATCAGAGACAAGAGTGAAAGTTACGCATAGTTAAAACAGTGCACTTGAACAGCTGTGGCCTGCTTGACCATTAGTTCAGTCTTTGTAGAGGAGTTGTGGAAAAGTTCTTATTGCTTTACTCCTGGAATAGAACAGGAACACTTTGGGCTGTTTTTTGTTGTTGTTGTTGTTGTTTTTGTCAGTCGTAGGGCATGAACTCTGGGCCTACGCACTGTCCCTCAGCTCTTCAGCTCAAGGCTAGCACTCTATCACTTGAGCCACAGCACCACTTCTGACTTTTTCTGCTTTTATGTTGCTGAGGAATTGAACCCAGGGCCTCATGCATGCAAGGCAAGTACTCTATCACTGAGCCACCTTCCCAGCCCACGACTGTTTTCTTTTAAGATAATAATAAGGCATTGCTTGTTTGAGGGACAGTTTGCCTTTTGTCACTAGCTGCTTGCCCAGGAAATAGCTCAGATCTAATGCCACAAATGCAAAGAGGGATGGGTAAGGGTGAATATTTAGCTTTAACTTAATTCACAGGGCCCAACCAAAGCATCTTTTAGGTTGCATCTTACATAGACATGATTCTGGCATTTATTTGATGCTATGAAGAAAAGAAAATTCTACATGATGAGTTGAAATCCAATTATTTCTGTCCTAAATTCATGTAAAGATTTGGGAAGGACATATGAATCTATTTTTGAGAAGCCCGTGGCTACTTCTATCAGCACTGATAGGTCTTATCTGCTTTCTCCAGGGCAATGCCTGGAGGAGAGCAGTGGCCTCAAATTGCATATTTAAATTCGAAAATTAATTGTATGTGAATCAAAGCTGAAATATTTTTGTGACATTAACAATAACATGCTCATTGTTAGAAATTCTGAGTTCTAGGACTATGGGGACCTAGTTATCTATATCTAATATTTATTTGATATATCAAATAACCAGTATTTTCATTTTTGTCTTAAAATGTAAAGCAGCATAAAATAGCCAAAATGCCATTACTATTTTCTCTTTTAGAATATTAAAGACTAGAATTTTTCCAAATATGCATCACACAAATGTTTTACACTTAGACCATGCTAACTTAACAAAAATGTGGGTTGTCCAGAGGTTTCTGCATACTTTGGAGCCGGTTCGTCAGTGATCTACAATTTTCAAGAACATGACAATAACACCTTCAATAACAGCTCCAGTTCCTTAGTAGAGTCATCTCATGAAGAGCTCAAGCTGACCAGAGAAATAGCCACGCTGAGCTTCCGAACCACAGGGGCGCCCAGTTTACTGCTCTATGTGAGCTCTTTCTTTGAGGAACATCTTACAGTTGTCCTCACTCCTGATGGTGAGTGACCTCAGTGTTACATCCACAAGCTGAATCAGAAAACTATGACCATGGTGCTGTGGCCAGGAAACCAACCAGGACAGTCAGCAATGGGCCCACAGTGTGCATTTTACTGGGGTTGGGCTATTTTCCATTAATGCTAAAAAAGCCAGTGATTAGTTGGGCACCAGTGGTTCATGCCTGTAACCCTAGCTACTCAAGAGGCTGAGATCTTTTTTTATTTTTATTTTTTTCAAAAAAATTTAAATTTTTTATTGTGAAAATACCATGCACAGGGGTTACAATTAAATGGGCAAGGTAATGAGTACATTTCTTATCAAGCATTGTTGCCTCCTCCTTTGTTTCCCCTTCCCATCTCCCCATCCAGAAGGCTGAAATCTGAGGATTGTAGTTTGATGCCAGCCTAGGCAGGAAAGTCCATGAGATTATTACCTCCAATTAACTACCAGAAAACTGGAAGCAGAGGTATGGTTCAAAGTGGTAGAGCACTAGCCTTGAGTGAAAAGCTTAGGGACATTTCCCAGACCCTGAGTTCAAGCCCCATGACTAACAAAAACAAAAAAAAAATCAATGATTCAGCTGAGTGACAGTGGCTAACCCTTGTAATCGTAGCTACTCAGAAGGCTGAGATCTGAATATCAAGGTTGGAAGCTAGCCCAGGATTATAGCAAAGTCCATACAATTAGCCAGGACAAACCTGGAAAGGGAGCTGTGTTTCACGTGGTAGATTGACTAAAAATCTCAGGGACAGAGGGCTTTCCAAGCTTGCATACATGACCTGGTTTCAGGGTTCTGGGGGAAACTGGGCCTGCTTCAGGCAGCTTGAAGGGATGTGCTCTGTGTGGACTGAGAGAGGTGAAGGTGACAAACCACATGTTTCTTTTTCCCCATTATGGAGTTCTGACAGAAAATTGGGGGGAAAATCCTAGTGAATGAATCATATGATTCATTTTATAAATGCTATCAGTACATTTATAGTGCATTAAAATAAATCAGTTTAAAAGAAATTATAGAAACTAGGGTTAGAGGCATGGGTCAGTTGATATCTCTTGCATTCAGTTAAAGAAAATCAGAGAACTTAGAAGATGCTTGTTCCTGTTGTAACTGATTTGGTCCTAGCTCCCCCTTCCACCACTTCCACCAGTAGTGGGGTTTGAACTAATGCCTGGTCACTGTCCCTTAGCTTCTTCCCTCAAGGTTATGTGAGCCACAGCTCTGCTTCTAGGTTTTTGGTGGCTCATTGGAGTATTAGAGTCTCAAGGCTTGTCTGCCTGGGCTGGCTTCAAACCTTGATCCTCAGATCTCAGCCTCTAGAGTAACTAGGATAACAGGCATGGGTCACCAGCACCTGGCTGGTTCTAATTTTTGAAATGGATTCAGAACTTTTCCCTAGAAGAGCTCCTAAATGATCATTGCAGCAAAAGTAAGTGTCAGTTTGTTAGGAAAATGGAGGAGAAAGGAAGGAAACAGGCCAGACTCCATCAGGCTAGGACTATTTATTGAGGAACACTGTTTATTGAGCAGAGCCTTCCCTCAGGCTTGGAGACTGTGTTGGGGGCAGGAGGAGTCAAGGTTTTTATGGAATCTGTTTAGTATGAAGGGTGAGGGGGTTGACTATAAGTGAGGGCAGAGAACCCTTATCCAAGATCTCAAGCTTTTTAAATGTTCAACAGATCTACATTTGTCTTGCCTAGATGGTTTGACCTTCACAGGGTCCAGTTCTGTCTTCCAACCTCTAAATCCTTTCCTGGCCTTGCAGCTGGGCCTCAGAGACTTGCAGCCTAGGCCTACAATAGAGTGGTCACAGCCAGGTTCTCACTTGGTTTAATATGCTTCAGTATACCTAACTTTTATCTGTCAGTTGGTCAAAAAATCACTGGTTCTGACAGATTTTTATAAAGTTCTGTTTTTATTTAAAAGGCCATTTACTTCTTTTTCAGGAAGTTTGCAGGTAAGGTACAAGCTGGATAGACACAAAGAGCCTGATGTGTTGGACTTTGATTTTAAAAATCTGGCTGATGGGCAGCTTCACCGCTTGAAGATTCACAGAGCAGCATCTGTGATCCTTGTAGAGGTGAGACAGTGCCGCGGACCGGGTTCTGTCGGGACGACGGAGGACACCTAGGGGAGGAACCTGGAATAGGATGGGGAGATGACAAACAGACAACTCACACACAAGAGGAGTGGATGCTGAATGCTATTTAATGCAGGGGATAGCAAACTTTTATAACAGAAGTCACCATGAGAGAGGGCAAAAGTTTACACAATCTTGCTGCATGGCTTCATTCTTGGGTGGTCAGCAGCTGGTCATTTGTCTTCGGCTTATCTCTAAGGAATACAATGGGTTCGGGGTTTTGATGTTTGTCACCAATTAACCATTACCTATCTTTATAGAGGCCTTAACTTTTCCCATAAGATTTTTTCCTGTCTCTTCTTTAATAGTAAACCTCAAGGAGACCTGGATCTGGCAATTCTCTTAGTAAATAGCAGGAAATTCTTTCTCCTAAATAATTGCCTCAGCAATTGCCATACATTCTTTCTGTTCTAACTGAGCCTACAGCTTCTAATAAGTCCCTTACAAACAATTCCTTCTGCTGAAGTGACTTTGTGACACCCCCAATACTTTTATATTTACTTATAACTTGTCTACTAAACTCCATAAGAGGGGTTTCAGGGTAGCACTTAACTCTGGTGAGTTAGTCATATTTATAGGACACTCATCAGATATTGGAGTCGTCAACACTCTTCAGAAAGAGCTTTGTATAAGGGAATGCTGACAATGAGCAAGTACACAAAGCAGTAGAAGCAGTAAGAGATTAATAGGCACTCTTATGAGGGAAAGAAAGGCAGAAACACATCTTTTCCAGGGGTTTTGCCAGCCTTTTCCCAGGAGTAGGCCTCTTAGAAGCCCTATTCTCCGAGGTAGACTTCGGTGAAGTCCCAAAACTTGGAGATAGGTTTTTGTAAAGCCCCATTCTCTGAGGTAGACTTCGGTGAAGTCCCAAAACTCAGAGATAGGTCTCTGAAGCCCCTATCATGGTCTGATAGATGGTTTCCCATGCTAAGCAGACTCTACTGGGGTCAGCGTGGCAAGACAGCAGTTCAGTGATGACAGCTTTAACTAAAAGTAACATATTTAAGATACTACACCTTAATAATAGAGATACATAGTCAGCACTGTTTTTCCATTTGATGAGACATAACTTGTAATCAAGGTGTTTTGGTAGCAATCAGATTGTCAAAATTATTACTAATATCTGACCATTTAAAATACCAACCTCAGGATTGGGTAGGTGACTCAAAAGATAGAGCCAATGCCTAGTGAGCACATCCCCAAGTTCAATACCCAGTTCTGTCCTAAAATACTAACCTCTCCTCACTGGCTTTATTTTACATGCAGGGAAGTGTCTAGTTTACTGTGGTAACTAGTGGCACTATTTCTATGGGGAGTCCATTCCTACTGGATTAAAAAAAAACAAAGGCTATAGCATTGCCTACATGAGAGAAAAAAAAATCAAGACCTTGCTTTAACTGAGGTATATTTTTAGAAATGCATTAACTATTCAAAAATACCATTTGATTTTAAGTAACTTGTTGTATTTCTTTGTGTATTATACTAGTCATAAATAAACTTTGAAGAAAAATAGAGGAAACAGATAGATAATGGGGGGAAACAGAATTTGAATAACTGAAGATATTATTTATGGAGAATAATATCATCTCTTTCTGGAAGCTGTTTTTTAATTCTTTCTGATAGCACTAACATATGGTTTATCTTTATTCATTTTTCTTGGATTTCAATACTCTTCCCATCAAAATTGCTCACATTTTGATGTCTGCTTCCTGTGGACCATTTAAAAGGTTGACCAGTATGCAAGGAAACAAGCCATCCTATCATCAGGGACAGAATTCAGTGCTGTCAGATGCCTTGTGTTGGGGACAATTTCAGGTAAGTGGAAGAGTGTTTCTACATGAGACATGCTCATATACAGCCTCAGGAAAATTAGGCTCTGTTCTTTTGAGATACCATCTCGATTATAGTCACTGAAAGCGCTGATACTGAATGTTGGTCGGTTGGTTGTCTTAATTTGGTTATTTCATACAATATTTAAAAAATATCACCACTTTGACATATGATGTGACTTCTGTAATCCTAGCTACTAAGAAGGCTGGGATATAAGAATACAGGCTCAGTAAAAAAAAGTTAAAAAAAGAATACATGCTCAGAAACACTCTGAGTAGACAAATCTACAAGATTCTTATATCTGAAAAACCAGCAAAAAGCCAGAAGTGGAGATATGGTTCAAGTAGTATAGTGCCAGCCATGAGTGAAAAAGCTGAGCAAGAGTGTGAACTCCCTGAGTTCAAGGCCTAGTACCTGCAAAAATAAATAAACAAATATTACCACCCTGAATTCCATATATTCTTACAATTAGTATTTGTGAATATGTATTTGTTTTTTAAATCACAAACTTTTTTCCAGGCATAGGGACAAACATAGTAAGAAAACACACACACACACACACACACACACACACAGACAGACACACAGAGTTCTCCACTCTGTCACTTCCAGTGTCTTACAGGAGAATAAGCGATGTTCATAAACCTTCATACCACCAGGTAGGAAGTTTCCCTTCATAAATAAAGTTGACAAAGGACTGTGTTTAGAGATAATTTGGTGTTAAATTTAATGTCTTTGAAAGAAGGGACAGTAGATAATAGAAACAGATACATTATATGATGGGGATATAAGTATTAACGTAGAATAATATGTGTTATCATATAAACTTTAAATTTCATACCAGTTAATTGTAGAGGACAAACCATAGAGTTGAAGATGTTAATGTTGTTATTCATGAATGATATATTCAAAAGCATGCCACAGGAGCTGTAAGAATTAAACTTGAAATTTAGTGAAGAACTTTATAGGCCAGAACAATTCAGTTAATTAAAACAATAAGAATTTATTTCATCTTCACCTACAAACATAAATCTTAAATCAAAAGCTAGCACAACTTTTCATGTTTTTGATATGTTTAGGATTGCTTCTGAAGCTGAATGATGGTGGCTCACCTTTGTAGTCCTAGCTGTTCGGGAGGCTGAGATCTGAGGATCAGTGTTCAAGCCAACTGGGACAAGTCCATGAAACTCTTATCTCTAATTAACCCAGGACCAGCCTTGAGTTCAAATCCTAGTACCAGCACACACACACACACACACACACACACACACACACACACACACACAGACACAGATTGCTTCTGTTCTGATTGTGTTATTTCTTTTTTTTAAAATTTATTTATTTATTTTTTATTTGTGAACATGCTGTACAGAGGGGTTACAATTACATGGGCAGGATAATGCGTACATTTCTTACCAAGCATTGCAGCCTCCTCCTTTGGTTTACCCTTCACATCCCTTCCTAGCCTCCCCCCTCCCCTCCAATCCCAACCCTTCTCCCCCCCCCCACCGACGTTGTAAAGCTCGTTTTGGACATGACAACTTATACTTCTCGTTGTTGCATCAGGTCCACCTGTATCCTTAAACAACCGCTTTTTCCCCTTCTCCTCCACAAGTTATACTGACATCAAATATAGTGAAAGCAGGGGTTATACTCTGGGGGAGGGACATACAAAGCAACAAAGAGATAGTCTTAGATTGTGTTATTTCTTAGTAGTTATAGAAAACAATTCCATTTTTTCATTCAAATTTTTTGATCAGCTGTTTATATTTACCCAAATTTGAACATCACACAACATAAATGTGTTTTAAAGCATTACATTTTGAATTTCAAAATAAATAATATATATGTATGTAAAATTCTGGTGAAAGAATGAGTTGGAAAAATCATTATAAAAATGATGGTATTATGTGTTTAAACAAGCTTTGACACGTGTTCACATTTAGAGATGGGTTGCTATTCATTCCACTAATATGTACTAAAATAGACCAACAAATAGTGTAAAGAGGGAGTTATTACCTTTTAAAAGAGCTTTGTCCTAAATTATGACCAAGATTTTCAGTGTGTGTGTGTGTGTGTGTGATGGTACTGGGGCTTCAACTCATGGCCTGGGCACTATCTCCAAATTTCTTTTGCTCGAAGCTAGTGCTACACCACTTGAGTCACAGTTCTACTCTTGGCTATTCTGCTCAGTCTGACTTTGAACCATGATCCTCAGACCGTAGCCTCCTTACTTAAGTTTGCTATAGACAAAAAATATACTAATTCAGTTAAATTATGTTTTAAAGTTCATACACATTGTGGAATGGCTAAATCAAACTAACTAGCTTATATAAGTATTTATTAGAAGAACGATCATTACTAAACCATATGAAAACTTCCTAAAATCTTATGTGAACAATCTTTGTCAGTCTCTTCCATGACAACAGCCTTATTACTGATCATGTTTGTTGCATTTGACTCATTAACTGTACTCAATGTTGTGACAGAGACTTGCTTATTCAGTCCCCTTGAGATTCCCCAGCTCCATGTCAGAGCCCCTGAATGCTAAACCTTTCTAATTCTTTTTCACATCCCATCTTCCTCTTGAATAAAACCATTCATACTTTAGAGTAAATGTCCCATCCTGGTTCATTGGGGATTTCAAGAGAAGTTTTTCTTTTTTTAAATTTTTATTATTTTTTTATTGTGAAAATGCTGTACAGAGGGGTTACAATTACATGGGCAAGATAATGAGTACATTTCTTATCAAGCATTGTTGCCTCCTCCTTTGTTTCCCCTTCTCCTCCCTTCCCATCTTCCCTCCCACCCCCCCTTCCCTCCGGTCCTCCCTTCCTAACCCCCACCCCCCACCCCCAGCCAAAGTTGTAAAGTTCTTTTTTTGAAAATCGGTCCATGTGTATCCCTATTTAAACGATTTGTTTTTGCCCTTCCCTCCACAAATTATACCAACATCAAATACAGTGAAAACAGGGGTTATACCATGGGGGAGGGACATACAAAGCAACAAAGAAATCATCTTATAAATATGTTAGAAACAATAGAAAGAAAAACCATTTGAATCCTTATCTTGGGGTTCATTTCACCTAACATCAACTTATCTGACTGTTTCTGCTTGTCTCAGACATACACTAGTTATTGCAAATAAGGGAAACCATGGGACCTATGTTTCTTTGGGTCTGGCTTACTTCACTTAATATAATTTTTTCCAAGTCTTTCCATTTCCAAACACATGGCGCAATGCCATTCTTTTTGATGGAGGCATAGAATTCCATTGTGTCTACATACCACATTTTCTTGATCCATTCATCTACTGAGGGGCATCTGGGTTGGTTCCATATCTTAGCTATGGTAAATAATGCTGCAATAAACATAGTTGTGCTGGTAGCTTTAGTGTGGTCTTGTTTGCAAACATTTGGGTAAATGCCCAAAAGTGGGATTTTTGGGTCATAGGGGAGCTCTATGTGGACTCTTTTGAGGAACCTCCATACTACTTTCCAAAGTGGTTGAACAGGTTTACACTCCCACCAACAATGAAGTAAGGTTCGCTTCTGTCAACATCCCCTCCAGCATCTGTTGTTTAGATTTTATACCCATTGAGCACAAGGAAAGGCAAATATCATCATCACTGAAATCAATAATAAAGGGATGCTTTGTCTCTTGTGTTAGGTCTCTAGTGTCTCTTCTCTTGAGTCTTGTAATAATTAACTAACTTTGTTGTTTGGGGGTAAAGATAGGATCCTAGGGTGGGGACAGGACAATTCAGAGAATGTGGAAAAGGAAACAGAGGCCACCAGGTAAAGAAGAAAGGATGATCCAATGTTTGGGTCGTACTTCTGAGTTATGAACAGCCAGCCAGATTGCCAAAACCAACAGAATTGAGTGGGGCACCTAGTGGTTCATGCTTGTAACTGTAGCTATTCAAGAGGGTGAGACCTAGACAACCTTGGTTCAAGGCCAATCTAGCTTAAAGGTCTGGGAGACTTCATCAGCAAAAGCTGGAGGTGTGGTTCAACTGATAGAGCACCAGCTGAGCAAGAAAGCTCAGCATGAGTGCAAAGTTTTGATTTGAAGCCCTGGTATCTACAGGAACATTCATTTAAAACCAATTAATTTAATTAAAATTATTATAGTCCAATTAATTGATCTAATTTTTAAATTAATCAAAATAGTTGTTAATTTCAATAAAGTTAAAGTCAATTCAATAAAATAGATTGTATGATAATTAAATAAAGTTAATTTAGATAGGGTGCTGTCCCTGAGGATTTTTTTTTTTATTTTCTCAAGGCTAGCACTCTCCTACTTGAGTCACAGATGTATAAATGGCTTTTTGGTAGTTACTTGGAGATAAGAGTGTTACAGGCTTTCCTGCCTAGGCTGGCTTCCATCTCTGATCCTCAGATCTCAGCCTTCTAGATAACTAGGATTACATGAGTGAGCCACCAGCATCTGGTTAAAACCTATAGAATTGAACAAAGGAAATTTCCAAGAGGGCTACTGCCCTCAAAGAGGCATTTTGTTTTGCCAAGATCACTGGCTTTAAACCCCTGAAACAACGCATTGAAATGATGATCACTTGAAAATCAAAGTGTCCTAGGAACTCCCTTGTTTTCATCTCCTGGATGCATCTGGGAAGGGTTTGGTACCTTGGCCAAAGTTACTTTCCAATCTGTCACTGAGGCCTCCCTGGCTCTGGGCCTTTCCTTAAGGATGAGGAGACAAGGAACTCAGGGTGTTTGGACTTGATATCAGGTCTATTCAGCTCCACAGCACCTCCATGGTCCTGATTGCTGTCCCCCCACCTTTTGCCAGCAGAGCTCCCAGGGGTTGACACAGACACACAGCTGGCAGCAACGCGTGGCTTCACTGGCTGCCTCTCAGCTGTGAGCTTTGGTGGTGCTACTCCACTGAAGGCAGCTCTGCGCCCAGGAGGAGCTGCCCAAGTCACCATCCTTGGCTCAGTCATTGCTGCCAATAGCTGCATGGAGGGATCAGCGTGGGAACTTATGCCCAGCTTCACAGAGGGTGCAGGTGCGTGGCCCTTGCCTGCTCATTATCTGGTTTCTTCCTTCCTTCCTTCCTTCCTTCCTTCCTTCCTTCCTTCCTTCCTTCCTTCCTTCCTTCCTTCCTCTCTCTCTTTCTTTCTTTCTTCTTTCCTTCCTTCTTTCCTTTGTGACTTTCTCTCTTTCTTGCTCCCTCTTTTCTTTTCCTTTCCATTCTTTCTCTTTCCTTTATTCTCTTTATTTTCTTTTTGTTTCTTACTTCCTTCTATCTTCCCTCCCTCCCTCCTTCCTTCCTTCCCTCCCTCCCTTCCTCCCTTTCTTTCTTCCTCCCTTCCTGCCTTCCTCTCTTCCTTCCTTTTTTCCTTCCTCTCTCTCTTCCTTTGTTCTCTTTTCACACTCAATTCACACTGCATTCTGGGTTCTTCCAATCCTTGGAAATTTCTTCAGTACACTTCTCTTTCTCCCTTTTCCTACTGTAGGTTCTGGCTCAAACAATGAGGGAGAACCCTTAGTTAATGCAAATAGAGGGATTCTTCTGCCATCGGAGGTAAAGTATGGTGTTAGCATAAAATGAAAGATATCTATAAAGAGTCATTGCAGATTAGTAAGGTCAAAGTCAACCATTGCAAATTCCTTGATGTTTAACTTAATTTAAGGGGTCCCACTCCTTAAGCAACAATTGAGTAAATGGAAGTGTTACCCCAACACACTCTCAAAAGAACAGCAGCCAAACTAAAGAATATTGACAAGTTTTTCATTTAAAATGTTCCCCGTGGTTCCTTAAGAGATCTTACATATGCTTAAAAATCTGTAGATCTCCTGCTTGGAGAAAAAACAAATCTTTTAGTTCTTGGCTGGATGTATTTTTGCTTTTGGAGACAAATGGAACCATGCTAACAACACCCCCCACCCAAAAAAAGTGTTTTGTGGTTCTTTGTGCATAATACTGAGTTGGCAAGTAGTTTTCCACAGCCTGAAACAGGATTCAGATTTTTATGTTTTAAAATACATGTAGTCAACTGATGTCAGTGGCTCACACCTGTAATCCTGGCTATTTAGGAGGAATAAAATTGAAGGTTATGTTTCAAAGCCAGCCAGCCAGGAATGTCCTAGAGATTCTTATTTCCAGTTAAGAACTACAAAAGCTGAAAGTAGAGCTGCGGCTCAAGTGGTAGAGAGCTAGCCTTGAGCACAAAAGCTCAGGGACAGAACCCAGGCTCCGAGTTCAAGCCTCAGGACAAGGGCACACACACACACACACACACACACACACACACACACACACACACACACACATTTAGTCTACATGCTTCTCTCAGCATATTTTACTTTAACACCAAATTAAAATGTTTTGGGGTGAAGGGACTTTTTCAAATTGAAGAAGTACAAGTGTAAGAACATCAAATACTATCCTGATTGTGTATACAATATGGTGCTTGAGTCAGAATTTACCCAGGTTGACTCAGAAAGCAAATATGACATGACATTCTCCCTTCTCATTCAAAGGTGTATATATAACGGTTTCTGAAAGGAGACCATCCCTTGGATCAGGCAGAGAGACTACTGGAGAACCAAACCTCTAGCTGGCACCAGATATAGATGCAGAATGGGAACTAATGGCAGAGAGAGATTATACAGGGGAAGATGAGAAAGAGTGTGACCATAGTGAATGTGGACGTGAACGCAGGGGTCGGGGAACCTCCCACTGACTCAGGTGCACCACTTACCTGGGTTACAGGTGCTGGGCAAGAACTTCTAAGGAGGGCCACGTGCAGTCAGGTACCAAGAGAGAACAAAGGGTAAGGGTTCTGTGTGCTGTTTCATAAAGAGAGAAAACAAAGGGAAGGGACCATTTTCCCCAAGAGGGCTAATATTTTACAGTCTCTTGCTTTAATTATTGCAGACAGTGGTGACTGTGAGCCATTTGCTTTCTCAAATGAGATGATAATTCAGAGTTGTGTGGCACCTCCTGAAACCCCAGCATTCAGATGCAGGGCTATATACCTCACCCACACACTATAAATATTACTTTTATGTGAATCCATGTGGATGTCAGAGAGAATGGAGAGAATTCAGACCTTTACAGTGTCAGCGCAAATCATTAAATATTTTCACCTTTTCTATCAACTACTTTTAATTTTGCAATGAGTTAAGTATGCAGGACATATTTAATGAGACCTCTGTTTTGCAATTCCAAGAATAACAAAGACCTCATAAATATAACTTATGACTTAGCTAAAAGATAAGTGAATGCTGGCACTGGTGGCTTAAGCTCATACTCCTAGCTACTCAGGAAGTTGAGATCTGAGGATCACAGTTCAAGCTAGCCTGGCAGGAAAATCTGTGAGACTTTTTATCTCTAATTAACCATCAGAAAACTGGAAATGGAGCTGTGGCTAAAAGTGTTAGGATGCTAGCTTTGAGCAGGGGCAGCATCAAGTCTTGGGTTCAAGCTCTAAAAGTGACTAATCATCATCATCATCATCATCATCATCGTCATCATCATCATCAAATTTTAGGTGGTGATCTCAAATCATTTTATTTTTTAGCAGAAGTGTTCATTATAATGCAAAACTAATTTAACATAAATGAGGTCAGTATTTTCAAAATAAAATGCAAGTCATAGTTATGAAATCTCATAGATAAGAATGCTGAAAGGGGTAGCACTCATCAAGATGCAATATATCCATAAATTTCTTTGTTAAATAACTCCTTTGTACAATTACGTAAAGATAATAATAATAACAAATTCCTACCCACAATAAAGCACTGCTTTTTCTGGAAAATAAAATTGTATAGTTGCTAATTTCTTATTGAAGACATCAGAGTTAATAGTCAAACTGATCATGGCACAAAAGATCTGGTCTTTGAATTTTGAGTTCTTGGTGAATAGTATTAGCCAGATTTCAAAGGAAAGGAGTCACAGTAGTGAGTCCCCTGAGGATCCTTACTTGGTTCCTCATAGATAGAATAGATAAGTAGAATTCAGAACATCTCAGGACATAACCAGCTGAGTGTACCAGTCTCTCCAGTTCTCTTGTATCTGCCTTTGATCAGGCATGGCTGGGTAGAGTATATTGACTTCCAGGGTGGTGCTCATGTAGAATTTTCAGCCCTTTCTTTAACTCACCAAATCTATCTACATGTAAAATATTCAATCTATAAAAAAAATTATCTCAACTGACAAATTTCCCTGGATGCTGTATTTTATATGACATTTTTTTCTTGCAAAAGGAAAGATAGCTAAAGGAGTAGCTACACTAGAAAAAGTAAAACCTGGTAAACCCAAGCTCTTAAGGAGCACAGTGGATGGGTAGAGAGGTCATTCAGACAGACTGAAAGACAGGAGTGAAAATCTGTCAGAAACACAGTCACAGGAGGTTATGGAATGGGTCAGGCCCCCATTCAAATAATCTCAGACTTTGTACATGGTGAGTGAAGATTCAATATTTTAGGACTTCATTAAACCACATAAAGCCAATAAACAAAACAACAAAGTGAGCCAGAGTTAAAAGCATCCAGTCACATATATGAATGTAGGGATGTACTACTGCGCTCCTGTAACGTTGAAAGCAATTGTCATCAAATAGCTTGATTATTGTTAGCATATTTACCAGTCTTTGAACTTATATAAAATAATTCTAATGCAAAGCCCTTAGAACTCTCTATAAAAGTAGCTGAAGCAAGCCAGTGGCGGTGGCTCCTGCTTATAATCCTAGTTATAAGGGTTGGAAGCATGACTCCAGTGCTACAGTGCTTGCTAATAAGTGCATAGCCTGAGCTCAAACCCATACCATAAAAGGAAAAAAAAACAATAACAACAGAAGATAAACGTTTCCAGCAGAAAATGTTCTTCATAGTTTGGCATATTAGCTACTTATTGCTTCATGGCAAATTACTACCCACTTAGACTAACACCAGTCACATTCTCTTACAGTTTCTATAGGTTACTATACTGTGCTTGAGCTCTTATAGGCTGCAAGGCAAGAGTCAGCCAAGGATGCATGGATGTGTTGTTTACTTCAGGGATGTGTTGTCCACTTCTCCTTAGGTGCTGGTCATTGGTAGAGATCTGGTGTTTTGTTAGCTGATGTTGAGTTAGTACCTCGATGATAGTACCTAGAATCTGTAAACTGGCTGCTGGCTTTGACTAGCAAGACAGTTGCCCCCAACTTTGTCACATAGTGACATATTATGCATATCATCAAGTACAACTACTAATCTCTGTCCTATAAACAAAAGGGTGAAATAAGGTATGGACCCTAGTAGGAAGATATCGGGCCACATACGGGTGAATGCCATCTATATCAAATAATTGTAATTCAATAGAATAGCAGCATCAAAGTAATATTTTATTCAAGTGTTTATACAACAACCTTTTTTTTATTGTGAAAATACCGTACAGAGGGGTTACAATTACAACGGCAAGATAATGAGTACATTTCTTATCAAGCATTGTTGCCTCCTCCTTTGTTTCCCCTTCTCCTCCCTTCCCATCTTCCCTCCCACCCCCCCTTCCCTCCGGTCCTCCCTTCCTAACCCCCACCCCCCACCCCCAGCCAAAGTTGTAAAGTTCTTTTTTTGAAAATCGGTCCATGTGTATCCCTATTTAAACGATTTGTTTTTGCCCTTCCCTCCACAAATTATACCAACATCAAATACAGTGAAAACAGGGGTTATACCATGGGGGAGGGACATACAAAGCAACAAAGAAATCATCTTATAAATATGTTAGAAACAATAGAAAGAAAAACCATTTGAATCCTTAT